GTTGCCACTCGTCTAAGTAAGAAGCACTTCCTGCCTCTTTCTCACACTCAAACTATTGCTTATCCTCTTTGATTTCCCAAAGTCTTGTGTTTGGGCTGTTTTTCTTCAGAAAACACATGGGGGCTCAAATAATTGAATGCATCTCCCTACAAAAATTCCCTTCACATTGAAAATAAGATGTAGAGGATAACATTCTTTCTGACATCTAACCTTTTGGCTATAGGATATTTTGTTTGAGTAGAGTGAGAAATGGAGCAGTGAGCAGTTTCCTATAGCCCAGACAGAGGTTTACCACTTCGGCAAGAGCTATGTGTTTGTGTCAGAAGCGCAAAGCAATAACTGCATTTGAATGTTGTGGTTTGTTTTGTATTAGGCTTATCATATTTAGATGACAGTGCCAGGTGGGGGGGGTAGCTTGTAACTATTCAAAATACTTTCTGCTCATGCTGTCCCTTAAACCACTGAGCTCTTTCCTTAACCCACCATATTGTTACCTACCCTTCTCCCTCTGGCTCTTCTCTTTCTCTCTAAGCTGTCATTTTGTAACTAGAACAAACTGGTGGATCCCAGTGTCCTCGCTTAAAATACACATTCAGAACTTGGGACAGCTATACAGCTGCAAATATGTTTTAAGTGCATTATACAAGACGGCGATGGTGAGCTAATGGGAAATTCAATACAGTGGTACTCTGGTTACGAAGGGACGCGAGTGGCGCTGTGGGTTAAGCCACAGAGCCTAGGACTTGCCGATCGGAAGGTCGGCGGTTCGAAACCCACGATGGGGTGAGCTCCCGTTGCTCAGTCCCAGCTCCTGCCAACCTAATAATAATAATAATAATAAATTTTATTTATATCCCGCCCTCCCCAGCCGAAGCTGGGCTCAGGGCGGCTAACAACAATCAAATAACCAATAGTTGAATAATCACACATTCTAAAATATTTCATTATAAAAATTAATTAAAATCAAATTGATGGCAACCAAAGTACTGTGCAGGTTGCCAGAGGAGGGAGTCAGGCTGCGCCCTGACCAAAGGCCTGGTGGAACAACTCTGTCTTGCAGGCCCTGCGGAAAGATGTCAGGTCCCGCAGGGCCCTAGTCTCTTGTGACAGAGCATTCCACCAGATTGGAGCCGCAGCCGAGAATGCCCTGGCTCTAGTTAAGGCCAGCCTAACCTCTCTGAGGCCTGGGACCTTGAGTTTGTTTTTATTTACAGACCGTAGGTTTCTCTGTGGGGCATACCAGGAGAGGCGGTCCCGTAGGTACGAGGTACCTAGCAGTTCGAAAGCATGTCAAAGTGCAAGTAGATAAATAGGTACCGCTCCAGCGGGAAGGTAAACTGCGTTTCCATGTGCTGCTCTCGTTCGCCAGAAGCGGCTTAGTCATGCTGGCCACATGACCCTGAAGCTGTCTGCGGACAAACGCCAGCTCCCTCAGCCAATAAAGCGAGATGAGTGCCGCAACCCCAGAGTCGGTCACGACTGGACGTAATGGTCAGGGGTCCCTTTACCTCTACCTTACTCTGGTTACGAACTTAATGCGTTACGGAGGTCCGTCCTTAAGCTGAAACCGTTCTTATCCTGGGGTGCACTTTTGCTAATGGGGTCTCCCGCTGTGCGCGCCCCTCTGGTGCACGATTTCTGTTTGCATCCTGGGGCAAAGTTCGCAACCAGGATCAGCTCCTTCCGGGTTAGCAGAGCTCGTAACCAGAAGCGTTCGTAACCAGAGGTACCACTGTATATATTTTTAAATGTTTTTTAAAAAGCATTTTCACAGTGTTTTATTATATATGTCTAGGTTCAGCCCTTATCCTTCTTATGTTTCTCTTCATTGTTTAGGCTATGGGACATTTTCCTATCTAGCTTCATTGTGGCTGCATATCTCCCTTTTTCTTGAAAAAGCTGTTGCTCTTCCACACTTTTTGATGGGTCTTAGGTAGTGCTATGCTGTTCTCTGTTCCTAAGTGATAAAGAATCTGCTGCTACTCTGACCACTTGGTTGAGACTGTCACTGACCAGGCTTGTTTGCTACTAGCTCTATTATTTTCATGGTGTTCCTTTTGTTTATGCTTGGAATTCTGCTTTGCAGCCTCATACCTTATTTGGTTCAAGCCCACCCCCACCCTAAAAAACTCCCAGTAACATCCCAAGCCTACTCAGCATTTAGCAATCAAATTTAATTAAAACATACCTGCATTTCCAAGATATGGAGGTCCAAAGCCAGCATAGTTTTGTCCCCTGAGGTCCATCAGTCTTTTATAAGGATTCCCAATAACAGTTATCCAAATGTTACCTTCCTTTCTGGTCTCCCATCAGAATCTTTTAAGTTGCTGGGTCTCACAAAGGCCTAGTCTGAAGCGAAGTGATTTAAGGATAATGTATCTTATCATTATGATATGGTACAATCTGACGATCAACCATACAAAGCTTGCCTTGCTATTAAAAAAATCAAAAGCTCATTCTAGGAATGATTTTCCTCTTCCACAGTCTGCTTTGGCAGTGCCTCATTCACCAAACAAAGAGCTTTTGTCTCATTTTGATGAGGACTTTCTTCTTTTTTGCATGCAAGATTAATGGAAGGGTTTGTTACATGTCATCTCCACCAATGTGTCCATGGGAAAATTAAAGTATAAACCTTGTAACATCTTGATAGAAGCGATGAAAAGGAAGCATTTTGTCCACCTACAGACTATTTTGTTGCCAGTATGGATGTTCGTCTGTTAGCATGTGCTGTGACTGCCAGCATTCTATATCCAGAATCAATAACAAAAGACTTAAAGCAATAAATATATTTTGGGTACCATTTATTTGGTTTTGCAACTTTTAATATTTTTAAAGCATTTATCCAACAGAAAAGCATAGGTTATGAAAAGCTATCATACCTATAAGTGGAACCCTGTCAGTATCTGGTCCAATATCCTGGTCTCACAGTAACCAGCTAGATGCCTGTGGGAAGCCTGCAAGCAGAAGCTGAGGGCTGCAGAACCCTCTTTGCTTATGATACCTGGCACCTGGTATTTAGAGGCATAATGCCTCTGTTAGTGGAGGTAGAACGTAGCCATTGTGGCCTGTAGCCATTGTCGTATTCTCCATGAATTTGCCTAATTCCTTTTAAAGACGTTCTAAACTCCAAGTCGATGACCACCACAATGCCTTGTGGTAGGGAATTTCAGTTTAACTATATACTGTGTCAAAAAATACTTTATCCACATATGCCAATAGAATAGTTTTTCTAGTTGCAGAAACTTATGCTGAGTTGCCACAGATTCACCCTTCCATTTTAAAAAGGTAGAAGGACCAAAACTAGAAATCTTGTTATTGTTCCTTAAATCATTTTTATGTATCACTTAAAAAACCACATTCCTCTATATCTGGTGTCTCCTTCTGCAGTGGCATAACCAACGAACCACTGTTTGGAGACTAGTACATAGTGTTTATTTTAAGATATTCAGATGTATGATACTTCATGTGTTCGTATATGTGCAGCCGATTGAAGCAATGTTTCTTTTTGATAATATGTATCACACAGTGATTCTTAAATCTGCTCAGTGCAACAGAGACATTGTAAAACCAGATGCAGATGTATATGGACTGTGAGTCAGCGGCTCTGCCAATATTTTTGTTGCTGTTCACAATGGCGAGGTAATTGCATTATCAATCTTGTTAGTCTAGGGGCATCTAGGGCTTCATTCTTGCTTTGACTGTGTGGGGGCTCATGTCCAAACGCTGCACAAGCCCATGGCAGCAGGGAGAAGAGGGCTCTAAAAAAATGCAATGGGAGGGATCGTAGCTCAGTGATAGAGCATTGCTTGCAGAGGGCCCCGGTTCACTCCTGGAATCTTTACTCAGATTAGATTGAGGACTAACAGTTGCTGAGAATCACAAAGAGGAAAGTACTAGTGCTTTTGTGCCCTGTTTTAAACAGGCTTGTGGCTAGCCATTGTGAGGACAGTGGGACTAGATATGGAACTTTAGTCTGATGTTGAAGAGTGGTTCTTGTATTATTATATTCTTACAGCAGGTGCTGTAAAAAGCCTCTGCTTCAGACCTCGAAGAGTTGCTGTCAGATTGTTTTATTTGTTTAAAATACTTATATTCTGTGTATACAAACTGATGTACAGATGTAGAGCTCCTTCATAGGCTGGCTGTATGCACAAATAGAAGGAATGTGGCCACTGTGCATTAGTCAAGAACAGGGCTAGCACTTGTTATTTCACTCTATATGTGTGTCTAAACTCTACTATCAACACAGTTCTGAGCAACCTTGAGAACAAATCCATTTTTTTTAATTGCCTATATTGTTCCAATTTATAAATAAATTGAGCAGGAGTATATTCTTGCTTGTTGCCTTTGGATTACTATACTGTGAAGGAATTTTTGAAAAAATGATAATAGTTGGGCTATTTTCAATGTGTGATCTTTAGCGTTCCAACCCCAAGGAGGGGAAAAGTTGCTCCCAGTTTCTCGCAATCAAGTGCTAAGCAAAGCCATCCTTGAGTTTGTTTGGAAAGGAGCTGAAATATGTCTTGTCTGAGAATGCAGCAACACCTGTATGTAAACTTTCAAGAATGTCTGCTTGAGAGGTGAAAATTATGAGGCGAGATGGATGAAAGCAGAAGCAGTTCTAGTGATATGAATTTTAAGGAGTGCTTCACAGAAGGAAAGTATTCATGGCTTGAACTGAATCTTGTTTACATCCAAACCAGGCAGTTTTCATTAAATAGCTTTCTGATATGAGGTTTATGTCCTTATAGCTTATAAACCAACTGTTGTGAAAAAGAAAAAGGAAAAGACATCAAAGCATCCTTAACCCCTCCCCTCCCAGGCACTACTGTTTGGCTTTTGGCCACAAAGCCTTTAACTGCAGGGTATTTAATAGCACTGTAGAAAGACGTGAATTCAAGAATGGATAAGGTGGCATTCTGCCCAGCTGAAATCTATAAAGCTGAGAAAAAGAGCCACAAGTTAAATGCTGGACAATCAGTAAAAATGCCCCACACTTATTTTTATAACATAATTGCGTGCTTTATTGATATACACAGTAAAGCAGTATATAATACAATAAGTAAGGCATATATTTGGTGAAATTTGATATGTTGTGAAAAATGCAGTAAAACTGAAGTTTATAAAAATAATTAGTAAATGTTACAGTGTAGATGTTAGAACACAATAGATTATGATACCAAAGTAATAAACCAGTACTGGATAACAATGGTATAACATGCCAAATGATAGTTAGTTAGTCAGTTACACTGATAAATGTATTACAGTTTAATAGTTTGTGGATATAAGGAACATGAAATATTCCCAAAGAAATGCTTAAAAAGCAGCAATAAAGCTCTTAAAGTCTTTAAATACTTTTGACAGACTCACTTCAAAACTAATGTCTATGAAGGGGGGAAAATGAAAACCCTGATGAAAACAACCGTGCACTCTTTATTAGTTTCCAAATGTCTAAAGAGAACTTTCAACTTAAAGGCATAAATGAACAAACCCCACCCCATAGATTTTGCACTTTCCTATGAGAATATGCAGGATGCTTATTGATGAATAAATGGTACAATCCAGCCTAGTATGGGTCAAGTGCCTGCTCATGAGGTAATGGCCCCTCCCCTCAGCATGCATCCTTTTGGAAAAACATATCCCTGGGCAAGATGGAGAGCTTGGTGCCGACAAACTTCCATTCACAATCATGTTTGAGGGAGACTGGTGGTAGCAACAGGGCTCTTAGACCTCAGTGTGTGGGCACTGTGCTCACACCAGGATAGATTGCATCCAAAGTTCTTTAAAAAATAGTTTGAAAATGTACGTTTGGGGCTTCTTTTGCAAGTTATTACATTTTTAAACTTCTTGTTGTTAAGATGATAAGACCTGTTCACACAATGGACAAGTGGTGATGATGTAATATCGTCTGTATATAATTGTCAGGAACACCACAAAACCAAAGTGAGGTAGAAATAACATGACTACCCATGTTTAATGTTAACTAGCATTAAAAATAAAATATTTTTCCCCAAGTTTAATTACACTTCGTACAAGAAGAGGTAACAGATTTTACTCTTGCAAAGTATTAATGTAGATTAGATTGATGAAATTCTGTTTTCAGACAATGGAATTAAAGGCTGGCGGAAGGGAAGGGAATGAAATGGTAAAGCTTTTGTTAACAGCACCTCAAAATTTTATAGTAGTAAACCTGAGGAGCTGTTATGTAACATCTATTTTCTGTTATCCCTCTCCTGAGTCATTGTTAATTGTGCGGTATTATTTGTAGAAAGACCTAGGGAGGAACAAAATTACCGGCTATTGTCTTGGATGACCAGCCTCCCATGAAGCAGTGTGGCTACTTTTAACTGTTGATAGAACTGAAGCTGATATAATTGCTCCATGCTATTTCCTGTTTAATTGAAATGTTGTGGCTCCTTGGAATTTGCTGCAAGGCAGATCTCTAGTGACCATTTTGTTTTTAAGAGACTAGGCAATTCTCAATGCTTAAAAATACTGCTACTATAACAATTAAAATTAAATATTAATAATATGAGTAATCAAACTTTCAGGATGGAAGCAGATCACAGGTCGGTCACTATCTGTATTCAAGTCCTCAACACACACACCCCTAAAAAAAAACCAAAAAACCCCCCACAAAGATATCACTAAAGGTGGCATCGCAGGGTATAAAAGCAAATCAAGACTTCTGCTTTGAAGCATTAAGGTGCTGGCCAGTGTCAGAGGCAGAACTCCGGATGATAAAGTCCAAAGGTATAATCCGGTGAGGCAATTCCTATTTTGTGTTTACTAACAACATTCGGGTTCATAGAAGTGGAGGAAACAGCAGGAGCAGAGAATACTGATTCAATTTGTCTTTTTTATTGTTGCAAGCTCTGAAGATAGCATTTGTCATGTAATGTGCTCTTTCATATTATTGCCAACTAGCTGGATAAATTCCTGTAAGACTTAATTTCTACTTGGAAGGAGGTAGAAAAGCTACCTCTACTGGAAGTTCAGGACAATATTATTTTTTTAAGCCAGTGCTAGTCAGACGCAAAACAATGAGAAATGTATATTAATAGTTTTGGTGTTTCAGAAATTCTCTCTTTGATTCATAAGGAAAAGAACACAGAACATGAATTATGTCTGATACAATAACAGAGCTCAAATGATGCTAAACAAATGCACTGCCTCTTTTTTTGTTTTTTTATAGGGATTTATATAAACTTTTTTTTTATAAAGCACACTTTGTTTACAATCTTTCTTTATAACGGTTATAAATTTTTTTTAAACAACCCAAAATGCGTTCCATATAAAGAAATGGCAAGTTATTTAGCTATCAAGATTTTACATGTAGTTTTCTTATAATTTTTTTGTACAATTGCATAGACGTGTAAAACCTGCCATTGTTAACAAAACAATAACAGACTTAAGAAACTACTGAAATCTACAGTATAGTACCACTACCCTTCACAAAAATATAATTTGTTTTCATGTAAACTCTTACAGTCTAATCCTTTTGTCATATGAATATTATAAAAACCATGCGGGTACGCCTGAAGTTGTAAAACACATCTTGCTATTCTAACACCTTGTTGTCGGTCATCATGGTCACTAACGTTTCCATTGCTCGGCCCAAGTCATCTGCCATGTGGAAAAGGCTGCCTACATTGTGGCCTGTAAAACAAAGAAAAAGATTTCACAGATGAAGCTGCCCTTGGTGTACTGCAACTGCTTTTGAAGATTGCCACACATACTTCTTAAAAGAAAAGTGAGTTAGGTACCTTGATATAAAATGATACACACTTCCATGCAAGGACAATTGTCAATTATTAGTCATATACATATATATATATATTTGCAGAACCACTAGCAAAGCTGTGTGAAACCTGCAGAGCTTTTTAGCCAGCACACACTAAATTCTTAAATGACAGACATAGCAAATCGATTTCAAAGGCACATGCATGAAAACCCTTGGCAAAAACTGCAAAATTAAATGTGCATGTGAAAGACTTTGCTACACAAGTGGTTGCAAATGAATCAATTAAAGTGAATAACAGCTAACCTGATCAATCATAATCAACCCAAACAGCTTGACTAGGGAACTTGCCAAAGCGCTAATTGATGTTAATGAGAGTAAGGTCCTGGATGAAACCTCCATTGGAGACCAAATTGAAGAGTTAAACCAACCTACATAAATTCACTGAATCTTTTAAAATACTGTTGCTAATGAAAGGAAGCTAGTTGCATGAACTCTATTATCAAGGGGGCAAGAAAAGCTGGATGTGCCAGGTTACGTTAGCTATTGTTAGCGGCACTGCAGTAATACTCTTTTCATGATTTATGTTGTTAAGAAATCCCATTTGATGGAATGTTTGCTTTTTAGCTAGGTTGTAACTTATCTGAATCCATTCCTAACAAAAATGTATCTTGATAATATGCAAGTCATCACACTGCAAAGATAGCAGGCATAAAATGGGTACAGCAACTTAGAGCAATATTTTCTTTAATCAGTGTGTATCTCTGCAGTTCTTCCAATCTTGGTTTTCAGACCACGTTGGTGTCCTGCCCAAAATGGGAATGACTACAAGGCCAACAGAAATCCTCTGTTTTTCTAAGAATGCTTTTGTTCTGCTGGTTTACTGCTAAATGGGCAACACAAGAAGAGCAGCACTCTTTTGTGCTGTCCTTCTGTTCCCAACATTCAGGACGGGCTATGATATCCTTCTGCAGTGTTCTGCTTGCAGCTCTTTGAGATGGGTCATGTTCAGACATAGTCACTTCTTGAATGAGTTAGGATTTGGGATGGAATCTTTACTTTTCTCAAAGGGTCTAAAAACAAAGATTTAATGCAACAGAAATAAAGCAATAATAAAGCAAAAACTGAATTAAGCTATTATGACATATGCAGGTAACACGTTAGCATTTAAACAAAATAAAACTGAACTATAAAGAGCTTTGGACAAATCAGATATTTTTCCACCTCTGAAAAGAAAACAAATTTTGTACCTGGCAGACTTAACCATAAAGGACCCTTGCCACTATGTGATTTACCTGTAGAGATGCTGGTAACTAGAGAAGAGCCACTGATAATGTTCTTAGCATTCAGGAATGTTTGCATGGAAGGTGATGGTGCTGACAGCTGTCGCCATAATCAACAAAGAACAACTAGTGGGCCACAGGATTGAAACTGGTGCTTAATTGTTTGTGTCTCTGAAGGTGATGGTGCAGAACTAGTCTACAGGTTATGGCCATCCTGTGGAGGCTGCTTCAAATTGAGAGCTCCTATGTGATTGGACCCTCCACTAAACTGTAATGGTTCATCTACCCTGGCAAAGCAGCATAAATGATCCTTAGAATATTGATGGAATAGATTAGAGTAAAAGTGATAGTCATTTTTACAAAAGAAGGTAGAAATTAGTCTCTTTAAGCGAGAACTGAACAACTCAATAACTTTCGCCTTAGACTGTTAACCTGGCACCTTTACATGTACAGGCAATTCTTGTTTTGCGTGGGAGTTCCATGTGTAAGCCTACTCTGTCCCTTTTTGTGATGTTTCCGTGATGTTTTGGGGCTACTTCCAGGATTGGCACTTCCCAAGATGTGCCTAAACTGGGAATTGCCTGTAATAAGTTCTCACAGTGTGTGAAAGATGTTGTTTCCCCATCCCCAATACATATATAAGGCGCTGAATGCACCAAAAATATTTTTTGTTAAAAAAAAAGTAAATACACAAGATCAGATCTATTTTAAAAAACCTTTTGTTTAAACAGAAGAAATGTGACATGTTTATATGCTTATATACAGCAGAACATCAAAGTAAATGTATCACTTCTGGGTGGTAGCAGTAATTTGACATATAGCTCCCTCCCTGGTCATGGGAGGGCACTGTCTTTCTTGTACAGTACTTTGCTTTGAGGGAGCCCTCAGTGTTGATATCTTAATCTGGGACGGGCCAGCAGTTGTGTATCATTAGAGGACTCCCTCCCTTCCCCAAATTTGTAATGTGCCAGTTAAGTTACATTTTGCCCCACCTCCTCACAGATAATATTGTGGATGGTAGCTTAATCATTATGGGTTTTCCAGTTGATGGAATGACTGCCATCAGACACAGCTGTGCACTGCATACAGCACACTTTGCCAAGCAGGTGTCCTCCAGATTTTTCAGACCACAGCTTCAGCATTAGAAGAAGAGGAGGAGTTTGGATTTGATATACCGCTTTATCACTACCCGAAGGGGTCTCAAAGCGGCTAACAATCTCCTTTCCCTTCCTCCCCCACAACAAACACTCTGTGAGGTGAGTGGGGCTGAGAGACTTCAAAGAAGTGTGACTAGCCCAAGGTCACCCAGCAGCTGCATGTGGAGGAGCAGAGACACGAACCCGGTTCCCCAGATTACGAGTCTACCACTCTTAACCACTACACCACACTGGCTTTAAATGGGAGAGGCAAGCTGCATCAGGCATCTCCTGACCCTGAACTGTGACGGCTGGTCATTATAAGATGGTTGGTGGCCAAGTTTTGATTTTGATTTTCCTTTTACCTCCCTGTCCCCTTTTGCTTGAGTACTGTAATTTTTTAGAGTGCAAGCCTGGAGGTAGAGATTGTCTTGTTTTGGTTGTATGTAAGCTGTTCTGGAGGCATTTTGGGCTGAAGAGTATAGGGTACAAATGTGGCAAATAAATAAACACCTACCTAAATGGGAACAAATTTTAAAATGCTAGCTTCCTATACAAGAGAAATTGGCTTCATATTTGTCTAGCATAGATTCAAGACAACTATAGTTGCAAGTGAATTTCTGAATGTTGTAGTCTTTTGTAAGGCTGTTCATCTTCCACCACATACATTGTTTGGATAACAGTTTAACATTCAAATGCTTCTGAAAATGTTTTTAAGATAATAAATGAACTATTTTCAGTTCATTTATACTTTATAGAAAGTGAAAAAAATCTGTTTTTCTCTCTGATTCTCAATCCCAGAGCATACAAACTTTTTCTGTGTCTTTATATCATTAAAACAATTAACTTTAGCTCCATATATTCTTATAACCAGCCTGTGAAGTAATTACAGTTATGGGATTCAAAATGAGATAAAGGGTTGCCCAATGCCACTCAGCAGAGTGCATAGCTGAACTGCATTTAAATCTGTCTCTCCCACATGAAAATGCAGGATTTTGTTCACATTGGTTTCCATATCCTGTACTGCCTTAAACAGCATAGTGGATGTTATTGACATTCTGTTTGGTGTAATGCTGAACTTGCAAACCAGAGGAATACTATATATCGCTTATATATCAAAACCTATAAATACAATATTTGTAACCTGTATTGTAGCCAAGAACTTAAGAAGGTCTCGGACTTTAATCTAAAGCCAGATGATAACTTCACACCTTATGAACCATAAAGATTTTATGGCAACATTTTCATCTTTATTCCCTTTGCCAAGTAAATGTCCTTTGGAAGGGCCTAACAGAGAAAAAGCATTCCTTCCAATTCTGATGTCAACTGAATGTTGAGAGGCATTGCATATTAGACCACAACTGTTAAATGTACCTAGCAACACACATGCTGCGCCACAAACGCCAGACAAAAAAAGAGGATGCAGCCAACAGGAAGCTATTGCAGTAGGCATCAGACACACTAACCTCTCTCACTGGCTTTCCAGAGGCATTTCTTCCTTTAGTAACAGAAGTAGTTTGGTATCAGAAAGAAAAAGGGAAAAACACAAATACAGAAATACTTCAGTGTTTATTCTGGAGCTGAATTCAGAGCATTGTTTTTTAAATAAGCCAAAAGACTACAGTGCATAAAAATGCATAAAATGTCCCTTGTAGGTCATCAGTGTAAAGTAATAAAAATCCATATCTTCTGATTAAAATGCAGAGAGCCTGAGATAATAAATTTACTAGAAGAAAAATAATAGATTGGAATAGATTTGCTCAGTATGTGTTGATTAGTCATCATCCTTTGTTCTAAAATATTTTATTACCCACAGAAGAACCTGTGATAGTATTTGATTTATTATTAAGAGTGATCCACCTTAGCACTGTTACATACTGAAAAACAATAAAACTTTTGCAATACCAAATTAAGACTGAGAATAATATGCACAAAGAATGTAATCTTAGCTGAAACCATTTCGCACACCGTTAGTTCACTGTTGTAAAATAATAATATGCAGACTACATAATAGGTTGTTGAGCCATTAATAATGTATAGTATTTCTTGTAAAGGAAGGGGAAAGGTGATTCATTGCAGTAGACAGACAAATTTCTCTATATCTTTCCACTAAGGCTGGGCAATACAGTGGAACCTTGGTTGTTGACCGCTTCAGAAGCTGAACAATTCAGAAGCCAAATGCCGACAACCCAGAAGTGAATGCTTCCGTTTTCGAATGAGCCTCAAACGGCTTCCAAGGTGCGTTTCTCCATTTTTAAAAAGGAATTTGCTGAATGGAAGTCAAATGATCTTCTGGAACGGATTACGTTTTACATCCAAGGTTCCACTGTATCTGGTTTTCAACTTCGTGATACATCACCATATGCCAATATATCACAATGTCTGAAATAAGGAGGAAGGAGGAAATAAGGTGTGGAGAGAGAAGTAGCTGAGCGCTGAATTCTTGGATGTGAACTTCAAACTGGTTTGGGGCGATACATTGTCCAGCCCTAGCCAAGAGCACTGCTCTCCTTCCTTGCATTTTCTTTGGAAGAAAAAAAAAATCTCAACCGTGAGCAAGTGATAGAACTTCACACCCCAGAGACACCTTTTGTTAAAATGTTCAGTTTTTACTTTTAACTTTTTAATTAGGTGAATATCACTATTAAAAGGACAGTATCACCCTTTAGCTCTAGCAACAGTTGTGAAATGGGTGGCAATCACTCCTTAAATAAATTTATAATGCCCAATTGTCCAATCACTGAATAAGAGGTGGGGGGGGTGTATTTGTCCATTTGCCCACCTGAAAACACAACCATTTCTTGGCTGGGGGTGCTATTTAAGAGGCAGTATGGAATCCAAGTTGGCCAGTTTCAACCAGAAATAGCAGCCCCCCACCCCCCCCCCAAAAAAAAGAGAGAGAGAGAGTTCCAAAGAAGTCCAGTGGGGCTACTGAGATGTAAGTTGTAAGCTAGGAAATGGTAATCTTTTCCAAGGCTGACTCCTCCCAAACCCAGTTTGTTCCTAGAAGCAGATTTGCTATTGCAACTAAAGAATAGAAGATCAACAAGTGGTGGGCAGGGAGAGGGGAGCAAGAGACAAGATCACAGCACAGAGGCTTTGGCATGAGGAACAGTGTGCCAAGGCTCCAACCCAGCCAGGAAATGCAGCTGATTGATTCTGCGCCCCACCTCCCTCTTGCACACCCACAGTTTCCTCCATTGTACCCATGAGGAGGGTGTTGGCTTCTTCCTTCCTTCCTCTCCAGTTCCCTCTTGGGACAACTTCCATTGCAACTGCCCAGCCACGATCCCACCACATCGTGGCACAAAAGGAACCACAGGGCAGGATGGGTGAAGAAGGCTTGCAAGAGAGAGGGAGGCAGAGAGAGAGGGCTTGGTGAAAGAGATAGAGGGAGTTACCTAGCCCAAGAGAACAAACATAAGGATCCCGGGGGGAAACCAACAACCTCCCTCTGCCTACAGAGAAAGCAGATTATAATTGGCTCTACTTAATTATACTTGAAGGGAAGTGGGTGGCGCTGTGGTCTAAACCACTGAGCCTAGGGCTTGCCAATTGGCAGTTCGAATCCCCGCGGCGGGGTGAGCCCCTGTTGTTCGGTCCCAGCTCCTGCCCACCTAGCAGTTCAAAAGCACGTCAAAGTGCAAGTAAATGCCCTGGTGGGAAGGTAAACGGCGTTTCTGTGTGCTGCTCTGGTTTCGCCAGAAGCGGCTTAGTCATGCTGGCCATGACCCGGAAAAACTGCCTGCGGACAAACATTGCCTCCCTCTGCCAGTAAAGTGAGATGAGCGCCGCAACCCCAGAGTCGTCCGCGACTGGAATTAACTGTCGGGGTCCTTTACCTTTTCAATTCTACTCCACTTTCCTTCTTCCCTGGACTGCAGGGTGCAAAGCTGCTTTAGAGCTGGCTAGCAGCCCTTTACTTGACAGTAAAATGTTTTTGGCAGTACTCTGATAGGCAGCAAGCAAGGACGTCAGCAACTGCTTGCACCCCGGTGGGCATTGAGTGCGTATTTGCGATGTATTGCAAGGTCAAAAATAATGAAACGGTTATTGCAATCTGGGCTTTAAACTGGTTTTCAACTATGTATCAATAAATCGCACAGCCCTAATTTCCACTTAGCAATTTTCTTTGTTCGGTTAAATTGCCCTGTCATTGCAGTTTGACACCTATGTCCAGAAACTGTTGTACAGATGGAATTTATAAGCAATCTTCCATTTGAATCATTTTGATTATAAATTTCATGAATAAATTAAACAGCTCTTTACTAAATGTTTCCAGCAGGAAAATACATAACATTAAAAACAAAACGTATTAAAGCCAAATTAAATGCACACGTACTACTTGTCACAACCATCATCAAAATGAAATAATTAAATAAAATAGTGAAGCAGGCTAGAAATAATCATAGCTGAATAAGTCATCACCATTTCAATAGTCACTCTGCTCTTGACATATGGAGAGCATATAGGTTAGATCTAACAGTCAAGAAGAATAACAACAAATTATTTTTCACAATTAATATGGAGACATTGTCTGAGACACTGCTAACATGAAGGATCCCCCAAATCCTCATGAATATGCCAACATCCTCATTAGTCATGCCTATTACATTAGTCAGGACTCACTTAAGCCCCATTGATTTCTACACAACTCCAGTAGCATTAATTTCCTTGGGAATGGGGCTAAGAAGTAGCTACTCTGTTCTAAGGATACCACCAGTGCTTTTTTCCTGAGGGGGTACAGGGGTATGCATACCCCTTAAACATTTTGTGAATCTAAGTTTGGCCTCATTGTGGGGCAGTATTTCAGTATGAGTAGGAAAATGAGAGTACCCGTAAACATTTTTTTTACAAAAAAAGCACTGGATACCACCATTTCTTTTAAACATACCTCACAGTTTAGTCAAAAATTTGATTGTTCAGCTTACATTTCATTGTCATTCTTTTGCTAAGATGAACAAGATCTCAGTCAAATACATACAAAACTCCCATCAGACTTGGCAGTTTGTCCACAAGTGTAGTGTGAAAGCAATTTACTCTGTGACCTATTATCTTGCAGGGTTTAATAAACCACTAAGGTGGTATTTAATACTATATTTCCACTATGTCAGACCTCTAGCTTTGACATCTGTTTTGAGTTAGCACAGCAGCTGTGGAAAGCAGCTGCGGCTACTATGAATTTGCTTTGAGCAGCATGCTAAAGGGAATGTGGATGGGACTGTACAGTTTATGAGAAAGAAAATTCCTTAAGGACAGCAATCATCAGATTCTCAGCAGAAATTCCCACTTTTAACACCATCCTTCAGCTTTGCAGCAAGTGCAGAGGTCATTCTATAATGTTTAAGCTTTCAGCTATTCTTTGCAGTTTTAACTTATAAACAAGAGAAAAACTATATAGACATCTGCATTTTTTCCTCCAAAGATCTGTTTGTGTAGGTCAGAGATACACTAACTTTGTCTACATGATGCATTATTTCTTTTTATAAAGGTAAAGGGACCCATGACCGTTAAGTCCAGTCGCGGACGACTCTGGGGTTGCGGCACTCATCTCGCTTTACTGGCCGAGGGAGCCAACGTTTGTCCGCAGACAGTTTTTCCAGGTCATGTGACCAACATGACTACGCAACTTCTGGCGAAACCAGAGCAGCGCACGGAAACGCCATTTACCTTCCCGCTGGAGTGGTACCTATTTATCTACTTGCACTTTGACGTGCTTTCGAACTGCTAGGTGGGCAGGATATGGGACCAAACAACGGGAGCTCACCCCGCCACGGGGATTTGAATCGCCGGCCTTCTGATTGGCAAGCCCAAGAAGCTCTGTGGTTTAGAATTTCTTTTATAAGAAATTTATAATAAAATTTCTGTTTATAAGAAAGGCTAAAAACATAGTTGAATAGAGAGGAGGAAAACCTGATGCCATCAGTGTGTAACTCTTAACATTTAAACTGCATCAATTAATTATCAGTATAATACCTTCCTGAGGTTGAACCAATCAGAGATTATTTCCCAATTTATTTGTAATGGAAAGCCAAGAGAATACTTTCCCCAGTGAGATTTATTTCCATATCATACTGGGAATTCTTGGCTGGGTTCCTACTTAGCATACATAGCAAGTTCTTTCACTGATCCATCATTACTAGCTGCAGAATTACCCAGGCAAACAACACAATGAGAACATCTGTGTTTTACTTCATTTTTGCATTAAGCAACAATGCCAGAAAAAGAGTTTTGTATAACTTGCACATTTGCAAGAAGTTTCGTTTTTTAAAGTGATTAGGTAGTCCAAGAGAATATAGTGTCTTTGCTTCTGTTCTTCACACCAATACATTTCATTAACATCTCTATTTAGTATTCAGCTAAGGTATACTCAGGCATACTGAAGTTAATGAATGTGACTAACTTAGGTTCATTAATTTTAATGGGTCTACTCTAAGTAAAACTTAGTTGAATACTGTCCTCTATCTTTTCAGCAGAGGTGATTTCCCAAGAACGCTTGATACACCGTGAAAATTGAAGTAAGTTGAATACCACCAACATTCCATGAGCTCCAGGGTACCATATTAAACCTAATATAACTCTTTCTAAGGAGGATATGTAGTATTCACTTGAAATTCTCTATTAGATAAGATTGCTTCAGTTGGGAGAGAGACTACACGCTACCTGAATATACAGGTAGGAAGAAAGCACACAATGGTCTCTCTGTTGTTACAGCAGGGCAGAATCCACAGTAAGAATATAAATGGAAATAACTATTCCATGCAAACAGCTACCATTGTGTACCTTGGGCAGATGTACTAAATGTCTTCGAAATGTCTGACTTGGGTTCATCTAGGTCAGGCATAGATGCATGCTTAATACAACCCCCAGCCCTATCTGGCTCTTGGAACTCTGCTCAGGCCACTTTGCTCCCTTGTCCTGTGCCACACACTCCTTAAGTACTTTTGTGTGGATTGAGAGGGGTGTGTTTTTAGAAATCTTAGGGAGGAATTCAGCGTAGCCTTATGGTAATAATTCTGCCAGCACAAGCTCTGGTCCACTCAGAGGCTATAAAAGCCAGCTGTGTGGTGCTGGAGGCACTGCAGTCTTCAATGGATCCCCCCTGCCTTTGTTTTATTGTTTGAATGGGCTGACTAGTGGTAAGGCAGGCATGCCCATGCTTGACCTTTCTATGGAAGTAATTTGGTTGCTGTATTTGGGACCAGGGAGGAATTTGCCTTGTGGACAAATTGGGCCTGTCTGTGGATTTTGTCTACCTCTTAGCAATCATCACAACTTTTGAGCAGTGGAAGCACTGGGTTGCATCCTTAGTCCTGGTGGGGGAGGCCCATTGCTGTGGGAGCCTGGGAGCTTCGTTCCGATGCCGGGCGGCGGGAGGAGGCGTTCCCGCCCCGCCGCCCGGCACCGGGGCTTCGTTTTGATGCCGGGCGGCGGGAGGAGGCGTTCCCGCCCCGCCGCCCGGCACCGGGGCTTCGTTCCGATGCCGGGCGGCGGGAGGAGGCGTTCCCGCCCCACCGCCCGGCATCGGGGCTTCGTTCCGATGCCGGGCGGCGGGAGGAGGTCCGAGGACAGTGGGGAAGACGCGCTGCGCTTCCCCACTGTCCCGGAGATTTCCCTATGGGCTTTCGTCTTGCGAAGCAAGCCCATAGGGAAATTCGTTTTGCGAAGCGCCTCCAAAACGGAAAACCCTTTCGTCTAGCGGGTTTTCCGTCTTGCGAGGCGTTCGTCTTGCGGGGTACCACAGGTGGCCAAATCGTTGTATGCCCAATTTGATAAATTTCTATCTTGATAAATATATTCATTCTCAATCAGCAATTGCAAAATGTTAACAACTGCAGTCAAACTAATTATCAATCACTGCACTACCTTCCAAATTTTGAATATTACCAATATTTTACATTTCAAGGGGCAACCCTCAAACGTTTTGTGCCATCCCAATGACCTGAGTGCATGGAACGTTAGAATGATCTCACTTTCATTTAGTTGGTTACCGTATTTTTCGCCCTATAGGACACACTTTTTCCCCTCCAAAAATGAAGGGGAAATGTGTGTGCGTCCTATGGGGCGAATGCAGGCTTTCGCTGAAGCCTGGAGAGCAAGAGGGGTCGGTGCGCACTGACCCCTCTCGCTCTCCAGGCTTCAGGAGAGCCGCACTGCCAGCCCCACAAGCTCGGGGGACAGCGGGGAGGCGCAGCGCGCCTTTCCCGCTGTCCCCCGACTTGGTTAGAAGGCTGGCAGGGGGAAAAAGCCTGCTCCTCCCCGTCGCCAGCCCCGCAAACTCGGGGACAGCGGGAGGCGCAGTGCGCCTTTCCCGCCGTCCCCCGACTTGGTTAGAAGGCTGGCGGGGGGAAAAAGCCTGCTCCTCCCTGTCACCAGCCCCGCAAACTCGGGGGACAGCGGGAGGCGCAGCGCGCCTTTCCCGCTGTCCCCCGACTTGGTTAGAAGGCTGGCGGAGGGCTTCCCCCTCCTCCAGCCCCGCAAGCTCCCAGAGCGATGCCAATGCTGCACGCAGCTTCGGCATCGCTCTGGGTCCTGTTCTGGAGGCTGGCGTTGGGGGGAAGCCCGAGCTTCCCCCACCCCAGCCCCACGCCTGGGGGAAAAAATAATTCCCCCCCCTTTATTCCCCCCCCAAATCTAGGTGCGTCCTATGGGCCGGTGCGTGCGAAAAATATAGGGCGAAAAATACGGTAACTATCAATTTGCATTCTATTTTTATTCCTGCAAGATTATTTAAAGCATTACTACCATAGCCATTCATCAGTAGCTGAGAAATTAGGGCCTGACAACTAGTTTCATATTCATCTTTTTTTTGGGGGGGGGGAATATTATTTCTAAGTTTTTAGACGAACCTATGATCTATTCGAGGAATGGCAGAGCACTAAAAACTTGGCAGTTTATTTTGCTGTATTTTCTTTTAGGGTAATGAAACAGGTTGAAACAGCTTTTTATTTATTATAAAAATGTTATTTGAGCTATTCATTGCTTTCCCCACAATTTCAGAGAAACACAGTTCTATAAGATTAACACTCCATTCATTGAGTTTGTTGTACCACCCTTAAAAAAAGATGGTGCTACTTAGAAGAGCTTTCATAAAGGGTAGACTGGATATGCTATCCTCAAGAAAAAATACTCAGGGCAGCTTAAACAGAACTATGCACTATTTAACACACAGCACAGTGTTTCATTAGAACATTTGCCTGGGGAGCAGCTTTTCAGAGATAGGTTTAAAATTACTCCACATAAACATCCATCAAGAAATAAAATACTGTCTCCTTTAACCTAAGCCTTTTTTCATGACACTATAATGTGGTAGCCAGATTTAGCAATGACCTTTTCTTAAGCACTAAACATTTCTTGGAAACATTATTCAAATACTATCTGTGCTCTGTTTTGACAAAGAAAGAAAATGTTAGAAACATAAATTTTAAAGAGGTTCGAACCTCTGAAGGCACAGAGCCCTAAACCCTCACCTACTCCGATTAAATGAAAGAGCATATTCTTTTTACCTAATGTCTGGCTGTAATATATTTGGGTTAAGTTCTGCTTCTAGCACCAGAGTAGGGAAAAGAAATGTTTCAGAGTTGTAAAAATGGAATAGAGCGCAGATACAGCAATTCTGAGAAAGATTTGTGAAAAGAGAAAACCTAAGCCAAAAATCCTCTTATGGAGGTTGTAGTTTGTGGGCCAGTGTCTATATGCTGGTTATTATCTGAATGTATAAAAAGGTAGTCTTAAAAGGGTAGCTTATGACCCCAGTAATTTTATCATTGTAATAGTGATGCTGCCCAATATCATTCTCATACTGGATATTACATATTTTTGGCTACTTTTGTTTGTTTGTTAATGATGATGCTACCAATCACCAGTGGGGTTGCTAATTTTTCTTGGGTCATAGACTTTTGTTTCCTCACCTCATATGGTAACGAATCCCCTTTTCTGGCCTATAGACAACTGAAGCACCTTTGAATGTGCAAATTTCCCCCCTGAATTGAAATGAATGAGTCATCCCAGAAGCACAGAGATCCGTCTGCACATCTGAGCACACACCGAAATCCCAGTAATACCGGTAATGCTATTGTACTATGGAGATTATTTTTCTACTGCTAGCATTTCAGAGCAAGAATTGTTTGCGGCTAAATCAAAGTGCATACAGGTTTTAGGAGAAAAAATGTGTTAGATTCTTCTCTTACAACACTTGCACCTTTCACCTGTGGAACAGTCTGTGAACATGATACTGAGCTGCGAGTAATATGCACAACATATAATTTAACTGTTGGTCTTTGCTTCTGAACACTAAAGCTTACCTCTTGTACTTGGGAAAGAATTGTTGAGCTGTTCCATGACCTCTTCTAACCCTGTGCTTGTGTCCTGGGGAGGACTGAGCAGATCATCCTCACCTAAAAAAACAAAAGCAGAAGGACATTCCTTTTAACAAGAGCCATTAAAAAGTACTTGCTTCATAAATACTGCCACTGGTTACAGTTTATGATCCTTAACCATTCATTTAGGACTCTGCAAGGTTCAGTTTGCAGTATTTCACCCTATTTAAATCCTGTTAAAAAAATCCTCCTGGCTAACAATCCAAAAGAAATTTTAATATATATGCATACACATGTACATTCCTTCCTCTTTTTCTAAGTTATAAAGCTTCCATTTATGAAGTAATGTAGCCCTGTGACAGTAAAATAAATTATTTCAAAAGTCCTAAGTGTCTAAAAATGGTAAAAGTAATTGCTAGAAAGAATGAGAGCTTCCTTTATTCCATTACCACAACTAAATTTTGTAGTTGTGTGCTGCATTTCAATGGTGATATGGCGAGACAGGAAATGTGTTTCTAACCAAGTAAATCAGAGCTGACAAATATGCAGCTGCATTAGTATTAATAGTTTTGACAACTTAATTGCATCAGATAAAAGCTGCAGAAAGATTGATTTTTACTCTGAAAAGCCATTTGAAATGTTTGACATGGCAGAATACACTTGCCCCCTTGAATAAGTTCTATGACCCAATAACAAAGCAGGGCAGAAATGCAGAGTTCAGATATCACAGTAGGTTTCCCTGAGAATTTTAGCATTACTGCTGCTCAAATTTTTAGGCTAATTTGTTCACTGAGAGAAGGAAACTGCCAAATCTCCTGGTATGCCCCACGGAGGACCTTAAGGTCTGTAAATATCAACACCCTAGAGGTCCTGGGTCCTAAGGGAGTTAGATTAGCCTCAACCAGAGCCAGGGCCTTTTCAACACTGGCTCCGGCCTGGTGGAACGCTCTGTCTCATGAGACCAGGATCTGATTTCTTTCCGCAGGGCCCGTAAGACAGAGTTATTCCACCTGGCCTTTGGCTTGGAGTCAGTTTGATTCCCTTTGATTCTCTTTCTTTTTCCTTTCTCCTCCTGTGATGAGGCTGCATTTTAATGTTTTAATGTTGTATTTTAATCTTGTTTTTAAGTTGCATTCAGTCAACTTGTTTTTATTATTGGTTGTTAGCCGCCCTGAGCCCGGCCTTGGCTGGGGAGGGTGGGGTATAAATAAAATTTATTATTATTATTATTATTATTATTATTATTATTATTATTATTATTATTATTATTCAGAGTTCACATGTTGAATATTATAGAAGGTATGACTATTCTTTTAACTTTTGCAAACCACAAAATAGTTAATTCAGAATAAGCTGATTAACTAGTTAAATTCAAGGAAAGTGTTATGAATCAGAGCTAATCTAGTTCAACCCCTGCCAAGGCAGAAAGTGCCACGTGGAAACCATCATATCTCTCATCACATAAACCAGCCATATTTCAGTGCTTCCTCTGTTTTTTGCCCTTTGGGGCAACTTGTGATGGCTTGGAGAAAAAAGTATTCTTAACTGCTGCAGACGAGCAACCTGCATGGGGACAACCTCAGATGCAGCTATTATGAGGTGGCTATAACATGCACATGCATTCTCATACCTATTCAGTCAATAGGAATAAGACTGCAGATTGAAGATTTGTTTTTAAAACAACAAAGACGGGGCTAATTCAACTGTTGTGCCAGCAAAATCCAGTGTTAACAGTGACGTATCACATACAGTACTTGGTCACTGGAAACAAAACAGAACAGTGGCAAGTATTCACTGACTAAAGAATAAATTGCCTCAGATAGTAGTTCAGCTAGGGTGCTGATTGGAAGACTGAATTTCTTTTAAACCAATGTCCTGAACATGGTTTAAATCATGTTTTTTGAGCATGATTCATGAAGAGCAGAAGATCACCGTAAACATAATAAATGAATAAGCAGTGACTAATGCTTATATTAATAAGAAATTGGTAACTAGCGTCTGCTTTTTTGGATTTCCTCAGATATAGCCTCAAAAATAAAGGAACCACTTGAAGCTATTATTAAGAGGTGTTCAACATTTTTAGGAATACCAAATGCTAATGCAAACCTCATATTAATAACTAATTCCTAATATTTCAGAACAGAAACAATAGGGGACTGGAACATAATATTTTTTGCTTATAATTTCTTCGTTTTTCAAATTTGACTTAAAGATCATTAGTACAGATTTTGAGAAGAAACTGTACTGTATCAGGATATATCTGTTTATCCCTACAGAAACACAGATGCTCATTGTTTTTCCAGAATGGTAATTTATAGCCCAGCTACTGTTGTTCATTTATTATGTGGGAACCAAATGTCTTCCTCTTATTACTGCTTTACGTTTAATTTTAGATTAGTTTCCAGCATTTAACCAAAACTGTCAAAGCAGCTTACATGCAGTGAATTTGAGAGACAGGTACACTGATTAGAGAAGACAAGTTTTGCTCAGTTCATAAACTTCCAACATTTCAAAATCTAGTGCCCCCAGACCTCTCTTATGTGAGTTTCACTTTTGCTGCTTCCTTCCAGAGCTTGACTAGGGAAGGAAAACCAGGGAAGGTGGGCTGGTAGAGGAACCATATTTTATTTCCCATTCTTTCAGAGCATCAAAAAAGCAATGAGAACCTCAAAATCTGTAATATTATTTGCCCGAGTCAGGACAAATTATTTCAGAGTTCCAAGTGGTAATGTGGCTTTTTGAGCATGCTCAGATGTTTTTATTTTGTTGGTGGGTACTTAAATAAATTGGGACGCGGGTGGCGCTGTGGGTAAAACCTCAGCGCCTAGGACTTGCCGATCGCATGGTCGGCAGTTCGAATCCCTGCGGCGGGGTGCGCTCCCGTTGCTCGGTCCCAGCACCTGCCAACCTAGCAGTTCAAAAGCACCCCCGGGTGCAAGTAGATAAATAGGGACCGCTTACTAGTGGGAAGGTAAACGGCGTTTCCGTGTGCGGCTCTGGCTCGCCAGAGTAGCTTTGTCACGCTGACCACGTGACGAAGTGTCTGCGGACAGCGCTGGCTCCCGGCCTCTAGAGTGAGATGAGCGCACAACCCTAGAGTATGTCAAGACTGGCCCATACGGCCAGGGGTACCTTTACCTTTTACATTTACTTAAATAAAACACAGACCTCTCCTGTTCCTAACCTTCTCTCTTGCCAATTTCCATCCTCCTCCACTTGCAAGCTGAGGTTGGGAAAGGGAAAAGAGGAACACAGCTACCATATTTCAAAAGACTTTTCACAGAAAAATCTCAGAAAAAAAACCCCAGGCCTATTGTAAATCAAGATAGGGAAGTATGCTCACCTCTACTCACAAAATTTTTAAAATTAAAATTCAACTAGACACTTAAAATATAAACATTGAAACAATAATGGAGTCTTCAAGCAGAGGCTGTACAGACATCTTGTTGGCAGTGTTTTAGCTCTGGATTTCTTGCACTGAGCAGGGAATTAGACTACATGGCCTACAAGCTCTCCACCCCCAATTATAAAGTCTGACTTTCAAATGCGTTAACAAATTATTGTTCAGAGGATTTTGTAGCTTTATAAACTGCTTGAAATCTACCCGTACCCTCATTCTGCATCGCTCCTTGGACAACAGCAGCACATAAGAGCATTATTTCACTTAAAACTAATTGATAGAGCCCTACCAACATGGTGTTCCCCTTATAGAAAGCCTTATATTACAAAATCAGTGAATTGAATGTGTCTGAACCATGTGTTTTGTGGTAGCTTGCATATACAGTTCACAAGGATCCAGGACAAATTACAGCTCCCTATAGATGTCACAGTCAAAGAGTTTTTCTCTCATACCTGAAAATAAGCAATAAACATGTGGCTGTTTCAGTAACCCATAACAAGAGTAGAGTAGTTTGGATTTGATATCCCACCTTTCACTCCCTTTAAGGAGTCTCAAAGCGGCTAACATTCTCCTTTCCCTTCCTCCCCCACAACAAACACTCTGTGAGGTGAGTGGGGCTGAGAGACTTCAGAGAAGTGTGACTGGCCCAAGGTCACCCAGCAGCTGCATGTGGAGGAGTGGAGACGCGAACCCGGTTCCCCAGATTACGAGTACACCGCTCTTAACCACTACACCACACTGGCTCTCAATAACAAAAGGGTACGTGTTTTGTTTGTAATAAAGCAGCTAGCAATATTTCCCATGACCCAGATAGGAGACTAAAACTGCTGCTCACCTCTGTAGCAAGCCAGGTATGGCAGTCACCAGGTCCATTTGTACTGGGATTTTTGCCCTTTGCCCCAGTATGTAAATCTTTTGTAATATACACAATACAGAATCTTTTGGCACCTTAAACATGACTGATTGATTGATTGATTGATTGATCCATCAGAATATTTGTGTTGTAATATACTGAATAATAAAGGGTCACTGCGCTTTTATTAGAAAGATAGTGCTAAATAGCTTCACACATAGAACAAACATGATTCTTCCTAACTAAATGAATGCAATTTTCTTGTAATTACTGCGAAACACCCTGTTCATTCTCAAATCCTCAGGTATAATAATATTTATACAAACATCTAAAGTAGCTATCTAATTACCTATCATGTTAAACAGAATTACTATTTAGCCAAGGCTAACCATTATACATGATAAAAATGCTTATAAATGAGATACCAGATGGGAATAGCTTTGCTAGAAATATCTTGCTGAATTCCATTTGTCTGAGCACTAGCAGTGTACATTATTTATGTGATGTGTTTATGGGTTGACATACAATAAACTTTCTCAAGGCGGCTCACAACAAGAAGATAAAATGTTTGTTTTGGGACCATTGTCCAATGCAGCTCACATACAATGTACTGCAGTAGTCCAAATGTGAGATTACCAGGGCATAGTGGTCCATAAAAGCACCTCAGAGAAACTCTACAGCAAAAGTATCCCATAGCTGAAGCATCAGAAAAATAAAAGAACATCACTGAACCAGGTTTTGTAGTTAAGTTCTGCAGGTGAGGATTTTTTATTGAATTATCTTCTAGCAATCCAAGTCTCAATGGCCCTACTTGCCACAATAGGGTCAAATATTTTAACACCTGTTTATTAATTCAGCTTGTTTTTGTGTACCTCGTGTCAAATTATTTACCTTCACTGCTGTCAGCTACATTAAGTGAACAACTATGAAAATAGCCAAAATGCCATTTGTGGGATTCCCCCCCCCCATTTGTTATACTTTCAATAATACCAATCCAATTTTTGCAGCACAATAGCCTATTTCTATCAAATGAAAAGGTAGAAACCTGGTTTTGTGGTGTCTCAGTTTGTGGAGGGATAAAAGTAGTGGTATTTGTTACTGTTGTTGTTTTTAAGTTGAGGAATCTGTGACCCTTTGCCAGAGAGTGGAGTGCATTAAGGAATGCCCACCTGGCCATTCCTGTGGCAACTCAGGGTAGCCTTCCTTGTATTCACCATTTAAGGGCCACAGGAAGACTCCTGTGTTTGAATTTTTCTTTTACACTCAGCAAAGCACACTCCACAGAGTAATAAAATAGAATTTTAAGAAGTCTACAAAAGGCAGACAAGAGTGTGGTGGTCAAATCACAGACTGAATCAACAGGGCTGCGAGCTTTGTGTAGTCACACTCCATGTGGAATGGAATAAAAGGAAGACATGATGACTGTTCTTTCTGGCAACATGTTGCCATTGGAGGGCCAAGAAAAATGTGATGCCCACATACAGGAATGCTAGATTTAAGAAAGAAATTGGGATCCCTTACACCTCTCATCATCCCTCAATGCTGACAGTGCTGATGAAAGTCCAACATTTGGACAGCCAAAAGTTCCCTGAATGCTCTAAAACAGTTAACATGTAACCATATACTGTGCAAAAAATCCTGATTATCTGAAAAAGGATCCATGTTAGCTACTGATATAATATGAAATTTGAATATAAATGGCAAACAATCCTCATTTTAAAATAGTCTGAGTTGTATTATCTTACCCATAGATTCTGAAGTCTGACTCCCAACTACGCGGAGAAGCATTGGCTGATTACTATCTGACCTCTGTAACGAGGTAGGAGAAGACTGAGTTGTACCATTCACCTTGGCATCCACTTGAGGCTGAAACACCAGAAGGTAATATAATAGTTATTCTACAGATAGTGGGTCGGCTAATTACGAACACTACAATCCTATACAGCAGGGATAGGGCACCTTTCTCTCTCTCTCTCTCTCTCTCTCTCTCTCTCTTTACCTCTGCCCAGTAGGCTGCCATGGGAGGGACAAACCACTCTTGCCAGAGATCTGAACTCATCTCCGCCTTTCATCACGCCCATCTGTTTGGGCTCCCCAGCTTCTCACTCGCCACCTCTCCCTCTTGACTCACCTCACCTGCATGAAATTAGGCCTAGGACTGTATGCAGCCAAAGGGCCACAGGTTGTCCACTTCTGCCATACAGATTTACTCAGAAGTAAATCTCACTGAGTTTAATGAGACTTTCCCCAAAGTAACAGAGAACAGAATTGCAGCCAAAGTCTGCAGTAATGCCATCATGTAGTTATATTTGTAGTTATATTTGTGATACATTCAGTGTAAACAAAAGTTACTTAATAAAGAGACCAACCTATGTACAGACAGCTTGAAGCTGCTGCCAGGTTCAAGCCATATTTGTTAAGTGGTCATACATTTGCTTTTCCATATTAAGGTTTCAAGCCATGATTAGGACAGACTGAGAACTCACCTGTTCCAGCAGCTGCCTCAACCTGTGCAGCTGTGATTCCAGCTGTTTGTTGTGATCCTCCAAGATTTGCATCCTGGCTTCTAGGCGGCCTTTGTGCTGACGAAGCAGCTTGGCTTCTGCAATGAGTTCAGCATCTCGCGGACTCTGGGGGGAAATGGGCATCATCTCAGGCGGGGATGGCAGTGGAGACAGTCCTTTGTTATCATGTTGCTGCTTTAATCGATCATATTCTGCTTGAAGGTTTCTATTGAAAATGGGGAAGAAGTGAGACTTTAGCACCTTTATGAATGCACCATCTTTTCCATTTTGTAGCTGGAATGCAGACATGATTGCCTAATCTTGCAGATTAGATTTGGGATCCAACCCCTTTTAAGGGCTTCAGAACAAAAAGTTTGCTGATACAACTCTTGAACTGGAGATGAATGAGAGTTCCTGCCTTAGGTTGTTGAAAAGTTGTTATATTGCATTATTATAAAATGCCGTGGTTAAATTTTCAATTCAAAAGGCCTGTTCTTTTGTTTCTCATAAGTGCACAAGATGTTTGCATTTATTCAAAACCTATGTATTCCAAGCCTACATGGTTTACAACAAATTGGACTCTCAAGTCCAGTCTGATGAAATCATTAAAGTCAAACTTGTTTATGTATGCTGGAAGGAATAATCAAACAATATAACTAGGAATATCTTCCTTATTCCAAGTGCTAGTTAAGGAAAAAGAAGTCATCCAAAGAATCATTGCTTAGGCGAAGATTTCTGTATCAGACTCTTAGAAGACAAAAATAAATTCTCTCAGTATATTGCACAAAGCTCTGGAGAGCAATCTTAAGCCAGTGTGAGCGGATAAAAAGAAACACAGACCTAGCGAGCATTGCTTATGTCAGTCAGAATTAGCGTGTTAAAAAACCCCAAACCCTTCTGAAAATATATAGATGTAGAAGGGAGAGCAGGGAGATAAATGTATAATCCTTTCAAAATGAGCAAGTGCATAGCAACTAGCAATATCCTGAAACCCACCTTGCCAAACTACAACCTGGGCTAGGTGATTTTATTAGCAGTTAAAGTGATATCACTGCATAATAAATCTGAGATGCCTCCAGACTACCACACCTTATTAAGAGGTCTAGTAGAAAAGAATAAAAACTATTCCACAAGCAAGGATGAACTTGCGTAGCTGAAATTGCAGTAACACCTGGAACTTGGAAATCTGAGCAATGCAAACATCCCACTCATGAGCTGTTAGTAACATCTGTGGTGATGCAACAATTACTTGTGAAAGTAATTACTCATGATGGGAAATGAACAACTGTACTTATTGCCAAGGGTTGCAAGTATTTATAGCAAGCCTACACAACCTGTTAGGAGATATCAAAACAGGAGCCTATGTCCCCTTTATCACATACACAGCCCAACAAGACAATGACAATAATCCACCAACAGCATACAAATCAATATGGCTAACCTGATCCAAAACACCCACCCACTACACTCACACATGAAAACAAAGATCACCACAGCCAATCACAAACAACCACACCCTAGGCCAACCCCAACCTCTCTCACCACCAAAGGAACACAAGTGAACAGCACAAGCAACGCTGACACCAAACCCTACATACATTAAGCATAATAGAAACATTGCCGCCCGACCCCACCCCCACCCATCTTCCCCACCCCCACCCCTTTTTCCCCCTCCCCCTAATGTCTCAACAAATGAAATGGATTTGTAAAAATGTTACATGGAAAAAATACGAGAGACATTACACATACTTCTGTAAAACAAGAAAAATCTTTAATAATAAAAACAGGGGCCTAGTAGGTTACATTTTACAAACCTGGCTTATAGAAGTAATTTTGTAGCTAGAAGGGTACTTTTTTAAAAAAATGTTATTTGATTTCAGAAAATTACCCCACACCATTTTGCAGGGCCTTGTATGCTTAAGCAAGGTGTAACACACTAAAATGTAGGCAGGGCTGTCCAACCATTTTGGATCTGGGGCAGTGTTCAACTTTGGGCTCTCAAATATCAGCGGTGTACTGTGCAATGCTAAAACTCAGCACCCTCCCACCTCTCACACTGTGATCTACTCTACAGCACTGTTGTGGTGCCCCCTGCAGCACGGCACATAGTATGGCCAAAGCAGTCGTGCTACCCTAAAACTGCCTTTGGGGCATATTTTGAAGTCTTAAAAACTGTCATGGGCACCACAAAATACCCATGTCACTGAAGAGAAACTGACAATATTCAGAATTCTCTCTCCCGCACCAAACCAGGAAATTCACCTACCTACCCCCTCCCCTCAATAAAACACAGGAAAAAGAGCAGGCAACACCCTCAACCAAAAGAAAAATCATAAAGCTGCAATTTAAAAATAGTAAATGGTAGGAGCCTTGATCGGCACCAAGGAGTATGTGAGAGAGCACTGTGGTGCCCACAGGTATTAAGCCATCATTTCAGTTCATGGCCAGGTCTGGGCTTTTGTTTTGCTTCTTTGTAATTGCACTTGATTTCCAATATGGAGATGTATATAAATAGGGGGATATTACCCCCTCCCAGCTTACATTAATACTTCTTTGGCTTAATGTATATATATATTATTTCACTTTTTATTTATTTCTAGAGCTCTTAAGACTTGCTTTTATAACATTTCCAGTGTGGTTTTATGAGTACTGTACCAAATTTTTTTCTCTGCTATTCCTTGTAAGCAGGAGAACAGCCTTATACTTTTCCACCTAAGTACTATATCTCAGATATCGTTGATGATGATTCAGTTGCTTTATTCATGGAAATGACTCAAAGAGACTTACAAATGCCTTTTTTCATTTGATGTTTTTCATTATTCAATGTGCAGTTTATTATTATTTAGTTTTGTGCAGCTTAAATGAAAGCAGCTCCCATAAAGTATTGTTTTTAAATTGCACTATTGCATTAAATGATGGCAACAATTGTGCAGAAGGCAGCAATTGTGCAGTTCTTGGCAGTAATTTCATCATTAACATTTACTCATCATATCACAAAAGTGGCTGAAGGCTCAAGTGAAATTGGGGAGCTATTGCTCTAGGCTATGAATACTGTAAGTTTTTTGCACCAGGTATAATAGATTGAGTTCACAAAGCAGTGCAATTTGAAGGCAACATATAATGAATGTATTACAAGCTTATTGTTAGGCTGTGCATGGGCAATTCTTATTCCGAAGACTAAAAATGCCCTTTTGGGCTGCAGAGGATAACGACATCTCTTCAGCGCTACATTTGCTAATGTTTCTGCTATGTATATAGTGTCAGGGTGCTTGATCAGATAACATCACTGATGACATGACACTAAGAAAAATGTGTATCTTGATTTGGTCAGTTCTGCTACATACAGCAAAGCTCCACCATTTCAGCTATCTCTATTATTTTCCTTTAAAGGGGGGGGTGTCCACAATTGTACAGGGAAAGATAAAGATCTGCTTTCCATGAGGCACATACGCATAATTCATCTACCGTATCTAACAAATGTGACTGAAGAAAGCAACAAATGCACATGCAACTATGTAGCAATTTTAGGCCAAAATCACATATTTTATAGGATTTAAACATTCCTTCTGAAGCAAGAAGTCATGTTCTATCATTGCTGCATTAAACATGACAAATAGGTTTATTTGCCATCTAATTTTTAAATTTAAATGTTTCACATTTTAGGTTTAGATGTTTATTTTAAATTAAGCATGACAAATAGATTTACACACCATCTACTTTATCTCGCATAATATAAAGAAGAAAACTGCATGTGACAAATTTCCAGGCAACTTACATTCCAATTTGCTGCTTGTTGATTTAAATGCTACCTCATGAACAATTTATTCTGTGGATGCATGGAAATAGTACCAGAACAAAACTGACCTGTTTTCTTCCTCCAGGTCTGCTAGAATTCTCTCCAGTTCACCTCTTTCTTCACTCTCCAAGGAAATTAGAATTTGTGCAGGGCTTCGCGGTTGACTGAGTGGGGATTCTTGGTTCAAACTTTGGCAGTAGTGCTGGATTAACAAATGTTCATCGTCTCTAAAAATGCAAAAAAGGAAAATGATAAGAACAAGAGAAAGCAAAGCAAAGAGACCAGACCCACATTTCCATCTAGAAAACTGCCCTCCGCATATTTTGTCCTCAAGAATGGCAGAGAGCTGTGATAACGTATGTATCAAAGAGTAGTACAGAGTTTGTCTCGGCTGCTGGCAGAAACTCAGAATTCAGTGTATTAAACTGATTACAACAGAACAGTTCAGTCCCAGTTTTTTTTACATATTATTAGGTACATTCTGCTAAAATTTAGGCAGAAGTGGGAAAGTGGCATATCAGCAAAGTGGTCAAATCAGTTCCTTGGTGCCATCTGTCTGAGAAAAGAGGTAGATAATTTGTTACGGATGAGTATGTGCAATAGCAATAGCAATCTTCAGCTGCTGTCAAGATAATCTTATCTAAACTGAGATCCCAGGACCCCTAGCACCCCCGTTTGGGAGGTCAAGATTCCTACCTCTTGGGTCAACAGTATTGTCTAGGTAGGGATGTTCTGGAGCCTCCAGCTTCCCAGTGATATTCAGGGTCTCCTATAGCCTAAATACAGAACAGCTGGCATGCACTTCACCAGAGGAGCAGTTCATTCTTCCACTTTGAATACAGTGTAATATGATGTGATCTTGTGTATAAGTGATTTTTCCTCACTTGTTTTTGTTTTCCTGTTCCTCTTCACCCCAACACTGCATACTATTCTATTCAGAAATTAGAAATGTCATGTCCAGGTTTTCCTTATGCCTTCGTTTGTCCCACTGCCCTAAGGCTTTTCAACTGGCTCATAAGTGAGCCAGTATGTATAGCTGTTACTGAATCACTGCTGAAGACACCTCTGCAAGGTGGCATTTATGACTGGTACCTTTTAAACACAAGGCATCTGCAACTTTAACAAATGCATGCAGAGAGAAATTCAACCTGTGAAGCATTTTGAAATCAAGAAGGAAGCAACAGTTGTTTCTGTGCAGGTGTTGGCAACTAATAACCTAGTGTCCTTCGTAATAAACTGTGTATGTGTAACCAAGGTTAAGCCACTATATGCCATATCATTAAAGCATTGTCTTGGATTACAGCCAGCTCCTCTATTTTTCCTTTCATTTGTTGTGAAAATTAGTTTAGCAGAGTTTTATGCAAGGTTGTAATTTTGTGCACCTTTTATTACTAGGTTATATGAAATTTTACACTGGCTATTTTAAAATAAAACCACAATAAAGATTAAGTTGTGGAGAAAATAACTAGTAAGACAGAAATATCTTATATCCATGGAGAGTTGCACCTGGTCATTGTGCTTACAGATCTGTGGGAATACCGCAGGAAGGAGGACATAAGAAAGAGGCAAAAGTGCTGCAAAGCCAACTGGGGGCATGTATTGCTTAACTAGTAGCTCATTCATGCATAGGCGCCAACTTGTGAGGGAGATGGGGGGGGGCAACATCATGTCAGGACGGTGGAGGAGCCAGGAATATGGCGACAACGTGTCTTCAATGGCCGGCAGGTTCTCCTCCTCTTGCTGCCATTGGCTGGGGGCTGCTTTCCCCTCAGGAGGAGATGGCCACGGAAATCTCACCATGCTTGGCTCCATGCTTGGCTCTGACTTTTTAGAACACTGGAGGCACCCCCAAAATATTTGGGGCCCCAAAAGGGTTAGGCCCCCAGGAGTTGGAATTTCTGCATTCATGTGAACCTCTGAATTGTTTGAACAAACAAAACACTTTTGTAACTCGACCTGAAGTGCACCTCCAAAGCCTGAAGTCTTAAGTTTTGCTGTACATAGATTAAAATGTTGCTTCCATTTGGGATTTTAATTTGTCTCTATGCTTTAAGTTACTATGGCAAAGAGCAATTCATAAATAATAAAAAAATACTGGTTTTCTCCAATTCTGTGGGTGATCATTTAGAATTTGTTTTTGGAAGTGTAAGCCACGCTGATAATTCAATTATAATGTTTAATATTTTTAAAGGGCTTTTCAGGAAATACTAAAGGCATTGCTTTGTTTAGTGGTAGGGAGTAGCATAGCAGCAGCCAACTCTGCCTTTGTGCCTGTGTGTGTTCACTGACACCAGGACAGAGTGCCCTGCAGATGTCTGATTAGGAACACCCGAGTATCTCTTATGTATCTGGGTTTTAGCACCAAGATTCATAGTCAATGGTCTCTGCATAACAGGCATTTCCAAAGCCCATTTTGGGGGCCTAATGCGGTCTAGGGTAAAATTCTAAAAACCCCCAACAACTTAAATTCTAAAAAAAGGTCAACAACTTTGGTTGGCCCTTTGGTCAGCCCTCACGGCCCTTCACTCATCAAATCTGGCCCTCTTTGAAAAAAGTTTGGACACCACCGCATAGTCAATTGTACCATGAGTAATGCACACTATTCTCCAGAGGAAGCAATAGAATGGTTCTCACTTGCAGTTCTTTACCTATCACACTTAGTGACAATAGAACTCTGTTGGATAGAAGCCTATGTTTGGTCAAGCCCATGACTTCAACCAGGACAGTCTGGTGAGACTAATTGGGTTGTTGCTTATGGTGGCAATCCTGAAACAAACAATACTGATATATGCATTCTTTATGTGATTTTTGACATTAGTTTGGCAATACTGTCTAATGTGCAGCATTGTTATGAATTTTAATTTTAAGAACTTATGACAGATCTGAAATCACAGATGCAATATAAAGTTTTCCATAATTTCATAGAGATGGCACACTTACATGCTCTCATTAGGAGAAATGCTATCATTCAGGTACGTCCCATTGGTGTTCTCCATTTCTGCTAGCCTACAGAGAAAAGAAAATATCATAAATATCTCTAAGTAGTCTGCCTTTAAATGTGACACAGATAACTGTAACAATCAGCACAAATGGTTCTGAAATAATAGCACCCACACCCCTGTTCTTTCCCTTGGCACTAGTTGTTAGGCTGCTCAGCAGTCATATCTAAGACTAATTGCTTTCACTATAAATGACATGTAGAAAAAGTTAAGTTTTTTCACTTAAAAAGATTACAGTGTACTATTCTTTGCTATACACACCCACTCATGTTTCTCTCGCTGGGGCAGAAAAAAACTGTAAATATTAGAATTTAGCTTCTACTCTGATATATGAGATGAATCTTCCAAATGTGTGGTATACTAATAGTGTATGATTATTTTTCAAAGCAGTCATTTTCCTCCCCTGTAATATTCAGAAGCTGTATTATTAAGCTGTATCACTTTTGATACATGCACTAAAATTGACACATCCTGGGCAGATATCGCTATTTTGTAGTACATGGTCACTGCAGGATTCCACTGAAGCATACCTCTGGAAAAAAGAATGTATAATGAAGTTCTGAGCACAAACTCAGAGTTAGATGTAAGCAAGAGCATGCTTTGGCAATTCCTATTTTAAGTGAATTGTATGTACATTCTAAATATCATGCAGTCATTCTGCATGCAAGTTAGTTCGCAAGCTGATTAGAAGAAGTTAGTAAACATGTATACCCTACATCCTTGGAGCTTTTAATAACCCTAGCATCGTTCGTTAAAGTTTGAGTGGTGTTGGACATTATAATTCCAATATTTAATTTTTTGCATATTGCCTTGGTCCTCTTTTTGAAAAAGATGGAGAAATAGAATTAATGATGGTGATAATTTAATAATTGTTTCAAGGAAGATTTGCCTAACAGAGATTTGTCCCCGTCTCGTACCTGCTAGCATAATGTTCAATACGTGAATGGGTATCATCATGTGAAAGCTGAGGGGACGAAGCAGGCCTATAAGGCAGAAAACACTGATTAATCACACAAGTAATAATCCTTAGAAAGAGAAAATCCACCAAAGTTGTTATTGGCCTCACTGCATCTAAGAAACACCACACTTAAGAGTTGCAACCCATGTGATCTGTTTGCTTCCTCAACCTACCTGTAAAAAACATTTAGTGAAAATGGACTCTTTCAAAAGTTTGGGGATTTTTCAAAACCAGACAATTGCTGTTATGTCAAGAGCTTCTTGCAAAATATTTGCTATAAACATACTTTCGTCCAATGCTATGTTTTCTCATGAAGTCTGTTCAAGTCTGTATTATGTTCAGACTTTGTTTTGCTCTTTTTATAAGCTGCATTTCCTGTCTACAATATTGGCTCATCAAGGAGAAGACACCTGAAAATTTCCAAATTTATACCAGCCATCCCAATCAAGGGCTCCTCCAAACAGATTATCAAAGGGAAGGTGATGAGGTCCTTGCATTGAGTACCTTCCCAGAAAAATGAAGGGTGAGAGCTCAATGCGGGTGGAGATGAATCAGGTTTCAAAGCCTGACACTGCAGCAGCCTGTTCAGTGTGCTGCATATAGTGTGCTGTATAATCTGTATATAGCAAATACACTCAGAGGAGGATAAAAAAACCACACCAAAACGTTGTGTAAGTGCTTGTGGTGCATTTGTAATTGCCTGCTTCCCTCAATGGAAGTATTAGATCTGTGTACCAGTATTAGAAACACTAATGCTTCTGAATCCATTACTATTCAAGCATGAACAAACATTCTACCATCGCTGCTGCCACATCCATGGGGATTCTTTGCAAGAGCAGGCTCAGTATTGTTTAATTCTCAAGTCAAAATCCAGTTGGGGTAAATATCCTTCATAACGTCGCTGAATAGCTTCAGGTGAATATTCCCCACCCCCTGGGGTTTGCCAGTGCTGCTATTGAGTTCTGTTTGCCATTCCTATGATGAATTAATCTATCATTAGACTTTTTTTCTTTTAACCAGGTGTGTAAATGACCTCTGCTGAAGTATTGGCATTGTTTTAAAAATATCGTTGGCCTGCAGTATGTTTAGTATTGGAAAATTGTGCATTTCGGGGTAGTCTCAGGTTCTATTAAGAGACTGAGAAAATTTATTCTCACTTTAGTTTTTTATATGGGGAACCAGCTATAGTATAAAACTATGTTTCCCAATAACAACAAGAAGTTGTTTTTTTCAGAAGTGATAGACCTATTCTCAGCCATCTCAAATTTCCTTACACAAAAGTTTGACATGCAATTTAACATAGTTCTTTCAGATCTCACCACTGCATTGTATGAGATAAGTTTTTAATATAGACCAGGTCATTTTTAAAAATATTGCTTGGTAGTATTTTAATAGCAACACTTCATGCATTTTACTGCTCTGACACATCACATGTGGGTTTTTTTTAATTGTCAGAACTCAGTTGCATCAAACAATGCCTCTTTTTCTCATAAGTTAAATTGCCTGTTTAATGTATTTGTTATTCCCTCTCTACATAAATTTCATAGCTTTAGGAGAAAGCAGACAGACACTTCAGAACTGGACTAAAGCATGAAGAGACAGAATCAAAACTGTTTTACAAAATTAGAAATAAGCATATTTTACTTCTAGGGCAACTTTTCTCGTTTTATATGTAAGCAAATACAGGTTTACAAATTCTGCAAGTATGTAACCTACATGTGGCCTATAGTTCTCTCTGTTTCAAAGAGTTCAAGTTTTCTTTTTTTATCAGTGGACAGAGTTCTAGCTTTCCCTTTCATGTTAGTGGCTGAAGCTGCGGAACTGCCCCCTTCTTGAAGTGAAATGGGATGATTTGTCTCACATGCCCATAATGATGGGCAAGAACCAGGAAGGAGGGAAGCAGTTCTGGGGGGAAATGGGAGTGGCTTCCATTTGGAAATCAGTAATAGTAAGTTTTGTACAGTGTTAAGTAAAGTATGTTTTATTGCCTAATTCAGTCTCCTTGAATATCATTTTTATAAAAAATTGAAGCAGCAGGTACTCTATTGTAAAACAGTGAATCAAAAACAAAGCTTGGTGTTTGAACTTCTGAAAAAGCTGTACACAAGTATTTGAATAGTACTGAATTCCAAGCAATTAAATAAGGAGGATTATATGCTTCAGTGAACATTATTTCTTCATGTTGTAGGTGAAGCTTTAAAAAAAAAATGTTTCCCCCCCTACATTTTCAATAATGCAGCAAATAGAAGAGACATAGAAGAGGAACAGATAGAGCTGAGTGGGGTAGATAAAGGGTCTCATAAGAAATGCTTCAATCTGGTTTTGGGGATTCTCTCCATCCTACAGCTCATCCCTGACACATCACTGATTTAACAATGAAGGGTGTACATTTAGGCAAGGGAAGCCCTAGCACTAGAGAAAGATCCAAACAGAAACAAGTGCCTCAGTAGATATGAAGATCTGGTAAAGACTTGCTGTACACACATTGACTGTAGCATAAATTCCTATCCATCACTTGGAAAAGTGATGGAAATGTGGAATGGGTAATAATTTTGCTTAAAGTTATTGAACTACAACAAAGTTCAAAGCCAAAGATAAGGTTTAGATCAGCAGAAACAGAAGAAAAGCCTCATTATTTATTCACTGGTACACTGGATTCCTCAGCTCCAGAATGTGAATAGTGTGTTGTTGTTTTTATCACAAATGGTCACAGAACAGTGGTTTCTAAAATTGCCTTTGAGAAAAGATTATGTGCGGTCTTTAAAAACTTGCAAATCACTGTAAGCCATACTTATTGGTACAGTAAACCAGATTATAAATATAAACTAAATAACAGGTATATTATACATACTTCCTCAAACAGTTGAAGTTGTTGAATCTTACTGCATGTCAGCCTAGTAGTTAAAGCAGCTACTACTACATAACACCAATTTGGAAGATTTATAATACAAAAAACAGTAACCAGTTGCTTGTACAACAGGTTTAAATAATGTACTGTAGAAAGGCTCACCTGTTGTATGTGCTTTCAAAACACCAACAACTATCAAACTGAACTATGCTCAAGCAGAAAAAGAATCATCAGCAATAGTATTTGGATATATAATATCCCACAACTTCATCTGTGTAAAAGCAGTAGTTGTTGGAACAGATTTAAAAAGCCAGTGAAGGCAGTTTATAAGGCACGTCTAATAATCAAAAGATGACTATGAACACTGCAGAAATCTCAGTTGCTGATACTCTAGCCAGTATCTTAGGAAAGGAGAACCAGTGTCACAGATTAAACACTGCTATTTTTCATTCTGAAACTAAAGGAGTTTCACTAGTGATTGTAAATATTAAGAATTCTGCTGCTCCTTTAGAAGCCTTTTTCTGAAATGGCCAGAAAGAAATGTCTGGTGATATTTGTATTTATTAGAACTAGATGAAGGAATTAAATGGACATAATATTCATTATTAAGGAATCATAAAACAAGACCTAAGGATAGAAATACTGAATGCCATACAAGAAAATCATCTGGGAATTGAACAATGCAAATCAGGGTTTCAGAAGCTATATATTAGCCAACCATGTGCCATCAAATTGTAGACTTGACACAGTTATGTACTGGATGTTAAACTGACAGAAATAAAAGCCAAAAGGAACCTGTGTCATCTCAGGAAATTCCACAAAAGAAACAAGGTACTGAGATGCCTCTGACTACAAAGAGAGGTAGTTTGATGCAGACATTTCAATTTAAAAGGAGAGATACAATAATAGTAGAAAACAAGGGTAAACCAACTTTTAGTTCAGAATGAATCCACTGAAATCTATTTTAAACTGATGTCTCCAGCTCATTTTCTCTTCTATCCTGCTAACTGCAAATAAATAGTTTGTTCATAGTTTTAAATCAAAGTCCCTGCACACTGCATGTGCTAGGTGAAAACAATGACTGGCTGGATGCAGACAGCAGGCCAGATGCCATTCACCCAATTTTTTTTATTTTATTTTTTATGTTTTGTTGTGTAAAAAATAATGAAGTTTAATTATGTGTTCATAGGCATATACCGTAACTGTCATATACAGTAACTGTCAAAAATTATTTTGCGTGAATTTTAATTAACATGCTGTGAGGCTCTCATATTTTTGCTCCCCATCCTCGAGTGAGAATAACAAGTGATCAGCCTTCCTCCCCTGGGCTGGTCCTGTGATGAGGCAGAGTGAAGCAACTGCCTTAGCCAGCAGATGCTGATGTAGGGGGAGTGGCCAGAACTATGAATGCCATGTGGTGTGCCTTGTACCTGCTACCCTCAAGTGATCCCAGCCCCCTCCCCCCTTCCAAGGTTTGAAGAAAATCTAAGGAGTGTTTGGCTACTTAAATGTTGAGGTGCCCAAAGTGCCTTGCCTCACAGTGACTGAACCAACATCCTTCCTGTGACCCTTTCCTATAAGGAAGGGGGGTTGCTGCTGGAGCAGTGCAAAGCCAGGCCCTGGTGACCACAGGTGTTGGTTTGACTAGAAAGGCCAGCCAAAATTAAGGTCACCACTAAAAATGTAAGCTATTCTTAATTCACTTGTAGTTGAGTATCCAATAGAAAACAGGTCACAGACCTAGCAGTACGTGTGTACTGGCATACATGCAGCAAAACCCAGGATGCTCATTCATTAATATTATATGCTGCAATCTTAGACAATTTATCTGGGAGTAAGCCCACTGAATTCAACAGAACTTACTCTAGTGGGACATTTACAGGATTGCTTTCTAAGAGAATGCAGTTAGTCTTTACAACAGTATGCTCCAAATATATACTGTGAATTAATTGTAGTTTTAGAGCTGCTTATTTTAGTAATCACTTTTTGTAAGGAAAGGGCAGAAGCCCTTTAGTAGTCTTCATAGACTAATTTTAGGCTTCCTCCTTCACTAATATTTAGCAGACATATGAATTAAGTAGCACAAACAAATAATTAAGACCAATGTTAAAGTTATGTTAGCATCAATGTCAAGCTGATAGTTATCTAAAGTGGATACTTATTCATATCGGCAATTACTGAACTAACTTGTCAGTGAATTCATGCGGCCTTAAATTAATAAGAGATTTCTGTTGAGAAATAATAGTATCTTGCTCCTGAAACTTCAGGCACAATTCATCCTAAATTGAATAAGGTTAATGAAAGTACCACTAAACTTCAGTGGGAGAATCTACACGCAGGGAACGCTCGCCACTGAAACAAAATATTGGAATATGCTTTGTATTGGATGGATCATAACCAGACCTCTGACAATATTGAAAAATATTGTTCATTCTCAATAATACATTGTAATTGCACTTACAATATACAGTGCTGCCTCGCAAGACGAAATTAATTCGTTCCGCAAGTTTTTTCTTCTTGCGAGTTTTTCGTCTTGCGATGCACGGTTTCCCATAGGAATGCATTGAAAATCAATTAATGCGTTCCTAGGGAAACCGACTTCAGACCAGGTCCGGGGACAGTCTGTCCCCCGACCTCTTCTGAAGGCTGGGGGGGGGACAAGGGCTTTTCTTCCCACCCCCAGCATTTTAAAAAACCCCGGGACAGCGGAGGGCTTCTCCGCTGTCCAGGACGATTTAAAAGCCCCTGGGAAGGCAGGCAGGGGGGACAAAGACTTTTGCCCCCCGCCAGCCTTCAGAAGAGGTCCTGGACCTCTTCTGAAGGCTGGCGGGGGGCGAAAGTCTTTGTCCCCCCTGCCTGCCTTTAAAAGCTCTCCCGGGAAGGCAGGCGGGGGGACAAAGACATTTGCCCCCCGCCCTCCTTCAGAAGAGGTCCAGGACCTCTTCTGAAGGCTGGCGGGGGCGAAAGTCTTTGCTCCCCCCGCCTGCCTTCAAAAGCTGTCCGGCCAAGGCTTCGCAGACCTCTCCGCAAGCAGCGGCAGCGCTGCCGCTGCTTGCGGAGAGTTGCCGGCATGCCGAAGCCTGCGCGCGCTGAGATCAGCGCGCCCAGGCTTCGCGGACCTCTCCTGCCTTCAAAAGCCGTCCGGGATAGCGGGAAGCGCTTCCCTGCTATCCCGGACTGCTTTTAAAATGCTGGCGGTGGGGAGCAAAGCCTTTCGGCCCCCGCCAGCCTTCCTGGACCTCTTCTGAAGGCCGGAGGGGGGGGAAAGGCTTTGCTCCCCACCGCTAGCATTTAAAAGAGGTCCCCGGAGATTTCCTTATGGGCTTTCGTCTTGCGAAGCAAGCCCATAGGGAAATTCGTTTTGCGAAGTGCCTCCAAAACGGAAAACCCTTTCGTCTAGCGGGTTTTCCGTCTTGCGAGGCGTTCGTCTTGCGGGGTACCACTGTACCAGAATCTTGTGACGGCTTAGGCGGGCAGAAGCAGAACTTCTGCACAGACACTGCCCATCTACAAGCTCCTCTCCATTCATTTACACTGAAGGCAGATCCCCCCAAAACTCATAGGTGCCAATCTGGCTTCTCCACTCAAATGAATGGGAGAGCATGCATGTACCAGATAGCCAAATGTGCATTTGATTGCACATACATCTGGACTAGGGCAACTGTGTACATAATGTTAAATAATGACCTTAAAAGTAAGATCTATGGCATATTTCCTTTTCCTCCAAAAAAACCAATAATCAAATCTCAAAGTTGCTTGTTTCCCAACCAACGATGCCTACTTTAATCCAGAATTTCAGATATTTAATGTGCATGATTCCGTATGAGGTAGGACTATGCAACCAAATCTCTGATTCAGATAGAAGTTAACTTAGATTACTTATACGATTCAGTTTTGATGGACTGTAAATTTGAATACAATGTCATGTACATTTAATGAAGTACAGGAAACCCTACTGGTATACCATTCCATTGATTTAGACTAAATTTTTGTTTTAAATTTTAACCGGGTGGGGAGGAAGGAGGGAAATGGACATATGTTAAAAAACAAAACTCAACAGAAATTAAAAACAAATAGTGAGAGAACGCAACAGCAGAAGCAGTAGCAGCACACTTTGGCAAAAGTACTCACGCAGAATCTACTGGCCAGAAGTTGATCAGAGTAACAGGACTGCAAGACAAAAAATGAGGAGGTGAAGAGAGAGGCAGAAAAAACTGAGCAGCAAAATAATTACAGAAAGTTTAAAAGAAACCCAAAAACAGGAAAATCCAATAGACCAACATGAATGTCCATGGAAAGCAGCCAAAAATATGCGAAATAAAATAATTAAAGAGAAGGAGAGAGATAACAAGCTGTAGTGCAATTGCTATTAAATCATGTAACTATTAACTAGCAGATGATAGGGAAAGAAAAACTCAAGACATAATTTTTGTGTCATCATCTCTATGGGAAGAAATATGGAAAAATGTGGGAAGTTTACAGTATAAATTTAAAATTAAGCAAAATTACTAATTCTTAGAATCAGTTAGAAAGGACCAAGAGGGCAATTTAGTCCAATGCCCTGCAATGCAGGATTTTTTTGCCCAATATGGGACTCAAATTCACAACCCTGACATTAAGTCTCATGCTCTACTGATGGTTCTATATCTGATAAAAGTATTCTTCATATCAAGAGAAAGTGAATGAATGTTAACTTCTGCTTATCTTAGGGATGGAGAATCTGTGGGCCCCCTGATGTTGCTGGACTCCAACCCCTATCAACCCAATGATGAAAGCTGTTGTCCAGCAACATCTGGAGGGCCACAAAATGTCAACCACTTTAAACACTTTCAATGCAATCAATAAGCTCACAGGCATTTTTCTTTTACTAGTTCAAGTTTAACTTATAGCAATTGAAACGTCAGCTTGTATATTAATTTCAACCAAAATAAACCAAAATGAAAGAAATGAAAGTGGCGTTATGCAGTTAGGAAGTAAAGGGATCAGGTGCCAACTGGGCAGCTCAAAGAACTTAACAAATGAAAAAATTATTTATCTGCTTCACTCACGTTTCCATGTTGTCTCCCTCCAACACTGTTTGCACAGGCAGGTAGCCCATTCTTGGGTGTTTTGCAAAGTATCTTTTTGTTCGGAATTTGTTTTTCAATACCTTGGCGAAGTCACGAACATCTTCTCCTGAAGTAGTCTGGAAGCAACATATTAATGGTATCACTTTACAGGAGAAATCCAAATATTTGACTGGCCTCTTCCACCAAACCATAAACATTTTACCATTATGCATTAGAAGTGCATGACAACTTACTTCAGGAGCATGATTTGCTACCCATGATCTAGCGTTTTGCAATGTATCAGCAAATTTGTTCAAAAAAATGTATTCATGAACATGAGGCTGTTAATGTACACATTAAATATTTACAAAAAACAAGTTTGCCAGGTCTGTGATAACCTATAATTTTGTATGTGGCATGTACCAACACAGCAAAATAGGTAGTACAGGAGGTTGCTGTGTCACAGTAGGAACAGAACAGAAAAGTACCAAGAGAATAATCTCCATTTTTATAGTGAAACTGTATTCTTGTAATGTTCAGTAATATGCACCCCATAATCAAATATATTGTTTATCAGATTTTTATTTTTATATTGACCTTATCATCAAAGTAACAAAAAAAATCACTTCTACAAAACAGATGCTGCTCTATATATTACATTCATTTTTAAGGAAGATTTTGTTCATTTGCTAGGAAGAAGCAAGTAGAAACAGTCGGCTGTATTATATAATCCAATTCTCTCGAGTTACAATTAGAAGAAAGTGCTAATGCACTTTATGACTTTGAAGATTAACAATTTTCCCCTTCAGTTTGAAAAAAAGAAAACCAACGACACCAGTTGTTCAGACATGTTTTCACTACACCCTTCCTTGGATATGTATATCAGTACAATCATTATCTTAAGTCTAGGTGGAAAGAGATAGATAGAATAAAAGCACTTGAGAACTTTGATTAAAAGCTGGCGTATACTACTGATTTTTATTTATCGGCCACATTTGGATGAATTTCTCTTGAATTCATAAGCTGAGATACACATAAGCCTTTTTCCTGTGCACACAGTCCTGTTATGACAAGCCTCAATAAACTAGGAATTCTTTAATGAACCATAGCTTCCTCTTTTGGCCAACCTTGGAAAAGTATGGATTTAGTTGTTACGACACAGCAATATATAAATAATAACTAGCAACTTCCAATGATTCTTTATTCCTGTTATTTTCACTGGATATAGCACGATATTCATGCTTTAAAAAACAGTTTTGTGAAGGATGATTTAATTTAAAAAGGAATACTCAACAATGCCTCCACTGTCTTACACAAACAAATGATTTCCCCTCCTCTTCTCTCTAGAATTTCTATTAGGAAACACTGATGTCACTTACCGGTGTGCAATATTCTACCATTGGGTAGTGCATCTTATGACCTTTTGCAACTCGCCCAGAAAAGAAGCAGCTTTGGCAGATGTCATAATTAAAGTGCTTTAAACTTCTGTACCTGGAGAGGAAGAAAATACAAATTCAGCACTCGTGCACCAAATTTTGTTTCGGGTGTAAAGTAGGAGAGTGGCTACACTCAGACTTAAGAACTCCCCTCCTAGAGAAGTTAGACTGGATCCCTCCTCGTCCTTCCAGCAGAAGGTGAAGACCTTATTTCAACAAGCTTTTAGGAACTGGCGTTTTTTAGGAAAGGGCTGGTGCTGGGATGTTGCTGTTGTTAATTTATTATTCTCTGTATTTTTACTTAGTGTATTTAGTGTATTTTTTTATCTTTGTTGGAAGCCGCCCAGAGTGGCTGGGGAAACCCAGCCAGATGGGCGGGGTACAAATAATAAATTATTATTATTATTATTATTATTATTATTATTATTATTATTATTATTACTTGATTTTTAAAATACTGTTTTAATTCTGTCCTTCATCAGCTGAGGCTGGTAAATTCGCTGCAGTCTCTCCTAAATAGAGACAGTCTAGCCACAGCCCAACAATGGTAATAGTAGGGGAAATGTTAGATTTGGTAATGTGAATCCATATTCTGTAGTCTACAGATTATGACATAAGAATACAGTAATTAAATGCAGCAAGCAACCTTTTATCCTGTTGGATGCTTGCAAGAATTATGAGGTGTCATATAAATTAAATAAATGCTTACTTTTTATTTTTACATTCTTTTATTTAACCGCCCAGTACTTTATATTAAACAAAAGTACCAGCAAGAAGGAAGTGCTCTTGATTTCATGTGACACACTCATAGTAATCTATCGGAGCTTTACACAATAATTCCAAAATGCCCCTTGTCAAGAGCTCAGTGGTAAGACAATGTTAAGATTGAAACATGCAGGGACCATACAAAACTGTTATTAGGGTACAAGGTGATAAAACAAGTCTAAGCATAACTGAAAATAGTATTTACTTAACAGCTAAGTAGATTCCTAACAGGTATACCAATCCATAGTTATTTTGCAAGATGTTGGCTTAGATTCATTGCTATAGTAAGCACACTGTTGAGATCCAGGTCTCTAAGCACATCAACAGAATTTCCATATTCGCGATTGACATGTCTCTTAAGGAGACTATAGACTGAGCAGATAATTTTTTTAAAAATGACATTACACAATGGTTTTTCTAGCAGGATTTTATTTCATTTATGTTAAGCAACTTCTTCTAGGAACATTTTTGTATCCAGCAAGTTATCAACTACACGTTTTACAAAAATGTTCATGTCCTGCTTGTGGGCTTTCAATAGGTATCTAGTTGGTGACTGGGGAAGCAAAATGCTGAATAAGATCAATGCTTGGTCTGATCCAGGTTGGTTCTTCTAATGGTCTTAGGAATCCAAACAGCATGATTACTTTTACAGAACAGAAGGAATATTAAACAAGCATTTCTGTTAAGGAGGCTGCCTTTAGGAGATGAGGAAATTAATACACAGTGCATTCTCTGCACACCCATATTATGTGCTGGAAGGAAGGATTCAGTGCTCATATATGACCTCTACAAAGAGTAGTAATTGATGATGCATTTAGTTCATCTGGTAAAAATCAGCAATATAACACTGTACCTGAATCCAATTATTGGACACTCCTTACAGATGTTGCACTTGGCTTGGTGTTTGGCAGTTTCAGCAGCAGCCACCCTATGTAAAACTGGCAGCCATACCATGGACTGTGGTTCAAGTCTCATCCAATCCAGAAAAAGGGCTGCCTCAATTTCAGGTTTGTTATTGGCCTATGAGAGAAAGGAGATTACATTACAGGACACAGGAAAAACTTTCATTTTACCAGTCATTTCCCCCTTTCCAACCAAGTATATTTCCCTTCATCTAATTTTCAGATGGTGACACATTTGTTCCACCCACCCCCGCACGTATATGTATATATTCCTCTTCCCTCCCTTTATAACTAACTAAATTCACTAACCAACCAACCAACCAACCATAAATGTGGGTGGGGGGCATTTGTAAGGGAGAACTGGCAGGTGAAAAGAGGATCTACTAGAACCCTTCCGATATCCATGAATTCTGCCATGGAAATCTTCTATCAACTGGGGTTATTTTTGTTTTCTTTGAACCTTGATGGGGAGGAGCAACAGCTAAAAACAGCATAGGGAAGCATTTGCAGGGAAAATCAGATGACACTCTCCCTCCTTTCAATTCATCCCTATAATGTTCCAGGAAATAAAACATTGGTTTTGAAACACATTTTCTGTCAGGATGTGAAGCTTTGTCCTTCATCAGACATAAGGTATTTTGCACAGGTATATTTTGTAAACCTGCATCAAGAGATGAGTTTTTGTCTTCCATCATGTATTCCTATGTCCCCCCCCCCCAGTAATATCACTGTTCTCAGTTTCTAGGGTCAGTTGCAAACTAATACAGACTTTACTGTTGCCCTTGAAACCAACTTTTAGCTCTCTTTTCTTGGTAATAAATGAAATAGCTCATTGTGTCCTAAACATTTTCTCCTTCCACTAAATCTCAGCATACACATGCATCTAGGATCAGTGTCTTCTTTTCTGAATTATTCTGAAGAGTATATAAGGACTATTTAATCCTCTTTCTCCTGTTTCAGTAATAAATATCACTTTGCAAACCAATTCCATTTCTTCCCCCTTACTAATACATTTATAACATCATTTGCAACCTATACATGTCATCTGGGCTTCCATTACTTTCAGAAAGTCTTTCTTCTTTAGTCACTATCCATCCACCTTAATCTTAATTTCATCAAGGAAGAATACTAATTAAGTACTTTAGGGCTTCTCTCTCACTCCTGAAAGCCCTCAGAATTATTTTAGCTTCTTAATAGCCATCTATGTCCAGCCATAAGTATACACTGTCTTCTCTATCATACTTATTTTTAAACCCTCAGATCAAATAAATGTAAATTGTGACACAAGTTGAAACCTACTGGCTACTTGATCCGAAATGAGACTGGTGAAGTTAACACTCCCAAAGCAAGCAGATAATAATGCTGACTTGTCAAGGAGTTTAAATAATTTTATTTGCAAAAATAATAGTAAATATCTACAGTGTTTTAAGATAGAAGATATGACAAAGAGCAGTGATCACACACATGCTATAAAGTTCTATCTTTCTGCCAATAATTGTAAACATAAAATGAAACAGAACCACGATAAGAAAATGATGGATGCCGTAAACTGTGACCTAAAACAGTGCATTAATCTGACTGAAGAGAGGATTTTTTGGTTGCTATCACTTGTTATATATGCTAATTCAGTAAACTTTTCTGAAAGGTGCACAGATAGTAAACTTTACAAAGACAATTTAAATATCTATGAGGTTTATGCATTGCCATGGGCACACAAGGGTAGAGACATCACATATCTCAGGGACTATTTACACAATACCACATCTATCTGAGTAAGCATCCAGCCATTTGTCCATAGCCATCTCTTAATTATCCCTGCATGGTTCTATGTCTGTTTGCAAATAGCAATATGGGGACAGAGAGACAAGGGGGAGAGATTAGAATTTAAACAGAACAAAGTGAAAATCTATAAGGGGCAGTACTGCAGATAGGTCATAACTACTGTAAAAGGGGAGGCACATATATACAATTCACTGAGGAATTATTTGCTTTTTTTAATGTACTGTATTAATTTTAATTTAGATATTTGAATACTTGCACATATTTCATTATTTCAAAACTTTGCAGAAAGCCAAACAAATTTACTGAGGACTCGTGTGTGTGTGTGTGTGTGTGTTTCTGCAAAAACAACAACAACAACTAGAATGCTTTTGATTAGTCAATTCTAGTGGGTGAGCTATCTGTTTATTGCCATGTGAAGATTTACTTTAGAAATTTGTGCTGTTACTAGCTAGATAATGATCTTCAATAAGCTGCTCTGGTCATTTGAGTTCACCTTATGCACACACATACACAAACAAGCCTTTTACATGCCATTTCTGGAATGAAAAACATGGATTCTGTACTGAAATGCTGCAGTGTGTCAACTGTAGACAGAATAAGAATGAACAGCTCAAAGCATTCACCTCTCCATTTGCAGATGCTTTTAGTTTACATGGGAATACAGTGAATGGATGAAATGGCTCCTGTCATATGCAAAGATATGTTTCAGTTCTCCAGCTTCTGCACATCTATTTTAATTTTGTTGGCTGCTATCAGTTTTGACAGTTCTCTATCTGATCACTACATCTATACTATCTACAATCTCTTCTGTTGGAGATTAACTGCATTAAACTGCACCAAAACTAGTACTGAAGTATATTACATGAAGATTTAAAGCCATATTGAGAAAAGCTTGTCAGGGTCAGACAGTAAAGGACAGATAGTTCTTGACTGTTCCCTGAGCTGCTGTTACAGTTTCTTTAATCATCTCTAAATCCAGCCAGAGAGTAACCAAGGGTTTTACATAAGGGAAGAATCTACAACAAAAGCAAACTGTGAAGATTTCCTCCCCCCCCCCCCCCGTTAACATATTTCTGTGCAACTGCCACAATAAAACTGTAAATCATAGAACAAAGTTAACAGTGCATTTCCCAGTTTGCAAATAACAATTTGTTACATCTAATATTCAAATTCCTATTAAATTCTAAACATCTGTTGTTTTTTTGTTGGGATTTTTTTTGCATTCATATGCCAAGAAACATTTGGAGAGGAAAGCTGGATATTCACCATTATGTTATGTAATGCTAAAAAGAAAAGAAAAAACTGCCTTCTAAAAAATGTAACATATGTCTGCTTTACCTCATATTTTGTTAATTCCTGATTTCAAGAAAATTGTATCAAATTGTCTTAGTAGATCACAACAGTTAACCATGCAACCACTCACCAAGACTGTGCTTGCCTCTGTTTTTTAGCTATGAAGCCTGTTCTCTTTTCTGCCCTCAATTATCTATTAGTATATTGCTCCCCCTCAAAGTTCTGGTTCATTTTCATACATTTAAACATGGATAGAGATCAGGATAACAGCATAGTTTGAAGTTTATCCTCTTTTTTTTAGGTCCCATGGTCAACCATGAAAAAAAATAAGCTTATACTAATAATTTCAATCTAAAAAAAAGGTAAAGGACCCCTGACAGTTAAGTCCAGTCGCGGACGACTCTGGGGTTGTGGCACTCATCTCGCTTTACTGGCTGAGGGAGCCGATGTTTGTCCACAGTCAGTTTTTCCGGGTCATGTGGCCAGCATGACTACGCCACTAAGCCACTTCTGGCAAAACCAGAGCAGCGCACGGAAACGGCGTTTGCCTTCTCGCCGGAGCGGTACCTATTTATCTACTTGCATTTTGACGTGCTTTCGAACTGCTAGGTGGGCAGGAGCTGGGACCAAACAATGGGAGCTCATCCCGTTGCGGGGATTCGAACCGCCAACCTTCTGACTGGCAAGCCCTAGGCTCAGTGGTTTAGCCCAGTGTTTCCCAACCTTTTTTGGGCAAAGGCACACTTGTTTGATGAAAAAAATCTCGAGGCACACCACCATTACAGCCCCGTGATGTCAGCGCGCAGCGTCACGCCGGGAGGGACGCACGAAAGTGTAACTTTCAATTTTTTTCCCTCCCCCTTGCCGGGGAACCTCCAAGCTTTGGGGGTGGGGGGGAGGAGGCAGCAAAGCGAGGGACTGAGGGACTCCTCCAACGACAAGGGTTGGGGAAGAAGAGAAAGGGCTATTCCGCTCCAGTCACGGGAGGGGAATATGTACTGGCCCAACTGGTGTGCGGTCTTCGGAAAGCGGGGTGCGGGAAGGAAGCCTAGGCTCGGGGTCCACCGACCTCGGCGGAGAAAGGCAACAACCGGAGCCGATGACGAGCCGGCGCGTGCGTGCAGCGGCTGGCCTCGAGCTCGGGAAGCTGCGCGCGGCGATGTTGACGCGGGGCGCGCGAGAACTTGGGGGCGGGGCGGGAGAGAGAGAGAAAGAGTTGGCAGCACCAGGCGCTGTTACTTATTGTGCTGCGGACGCTGCCAGCAACTGCGGTGGTTGTGCGGCGGCCGCCGCCGCAGAACATCCTCGTCAGTCAGCTGAGCTGCCTGGCGGCGTAGGGAGCCGAGGGGCGGGGCTTCCTTTCTGAAGGAGCTGAGGGTGGGGGTCCTCCGGCGCCTTCGGCGAAACGGCGCCGGCCCCGAGCGCTTCTAGGAGGCTGCCTTTGTGCGCGACGTAAAGCCCTCTTTCCCTCCAGCCCTGTGTCACATGTGGAAAAGGGGGCTGGATCCAGTGACGCAACTCGGAAAACTGTTAGGGAAGCCAGAGCAGGAAAGTGAGTGGGAGGCGGCGTCGCCGCTTTAACCCACGTTTCCTTTTTGAAAGAGAAACCAGTGTTTCCCAACCTTTTTTGGACTCGCTCGCGGCACACCAGGCAACATCTCGCGGCACACTAGTGTGCCGCGGAACACCGGTTGGGAAACACTGGTTTAGCCCACAGCTCCACCTGCGTCCCTAATTTCAATTTACATTACACTAAAACTATTTTAAAATTCTGAGATTCAAATTTACATTGATAAAGTGCTCTTTTAAAAAAAACAATGCCCAGAGGCTTATATCTACCTTAAATAAGGTATTGGTGTATTACTACATACAGGATAACCAAGACTTAAAAATGAGTAGTTTTTGGCAGTGTAGTAGATGCAAAGCAGACTTCCTTTCTATCTGCTAGTCCTGTCCAAATATCTATTTCTAAAACAAAGGTGAAACTGTCACATTCCTGTTACATTTTTGCTGTTGGATGTTGTTAATGTAATCATATTTATAATACTGGAATGTTTCTGACATTTTGGGTGATGTTATATTTGCTACTTTGTTGTTTTATTATGTTACAATGAAATTGTTTTGAAGTGTTTGATCTTGAAATGTGTTCAACTTTTCTTTGTTATAAACCACTTTGAGCATGATTTTTTTTACAAATTTTACAAATAAAATTATGAATGAGACAATTGGTTCATCTAGCTAAGTATTCTGAAGCATACAAGTTTGCATTGTAAAAGGAAAACACATTATTGTAATAGTCAAACAACAACTTTACAGAATGCTGCTTCTGAGTCTATAAATAGGGGAAAGTAGGTCTAAGGAAACCAGAAATCTGGTTAGACTGTAGCTGTGTTCAGGCCGTGTTTAAAATCAGGGCCAGTGACCCGAAAAGCCTGGGATCTACCACTGAGCATGATGTAAGATAAGCCACATTTCAGGAACTGTCTTTTTCACCATGTTCCACCACAGGCTGAAAACAGAACAGCCTCTCATTTGCACCACCTGTGTGCCAAATTTGAACAGCATAAACATTATATTTCTCTAGAAGTCTATCTTATAGCTGACATTCAACAGACAGGGTTCAACAAACATGAGGTATAATTCCCATTCCTACATATAATCCTCTCTTTTTATTGCACCTTTGCCCTTAAACTGTTGTTATTGCCACAGCTTTTTGTGTGTTGTGGGGGGATGAAAGAAAGAGAACTAAATAAATGAATAAGAAAAGTAAAGTTCTATTTTATATTCCACATGAAGCCTCGTTTTCTCCCAAGAGCTACTCTTTGTACATCTTTTTTTAATGTTTGTAACCTAGGCGCTGCATGAGTCCTCAAGCTTGTGGAAAGAAAAATAATTTCAAAGTGGCAAAGTTTTTTTTTAAGGCCACCTCATTCCTTACAGACAAAGAATGTACTTGAAGCAGTTGTAGCATTTTTGCTGCAGTTGAAGGGAGTATTCCAAACACCAATGCTGTGAGCACATGCATGTTGACAGAACAAGACTTCCCTCCCCCACTACTTTCAAGGACTTGCATTTCAAACAAAGATCAGGGATATTTCCTCACCACCCCTTGTTATCTCCTGGTACAGTAAACATTACATTTTTGTGCTGCTGTGCATGACAGACAAGGTTGTTGCCAGCATGCCTAAGCCACTGAGACCAGGAGAACAGATTCTGGTACAGTACATTTGCTGCTGGTTCTCTCTCTCTCTCTCGTTCTCTCTGAAATCACTGCAAATTATTACCAGGGATGTTATCAGCTTAAAAACCTCACTTCCAGCCAATTCCCCTTAATAATGAAAAGTCCTTGAGTTAGATTTGTGAAGAGGTGTGTGTGGTGTGTGTGTGTGTGTGTGTGTGTGTGTGAGAGAGAGAGAGAGAGAGAGAGAGAGAATGCATAGTGTACAAATATTTTCAATATTGCAAATACATGCTGAAGAAATTTCAAACAACACGATCATAACCGATGAAATGCAATTCAAAATATACAGCATTTAAAGATAAAAAAACAAAAAGATAACAAACTCACTAAAAGCAGCAAACAAACAACCTTTGTATAATATTCAGCAAAAACAAACAATGGTGGACGTGTCAAAAAAGGAATCCAGAACTTTTGAGACAAGTCCCTTTCTTTACTTCTCACTTCTCAAATAGTGATGTTTCTGAAGAGGGCTCTTCTGAAATGTTTTTTTAAGTTCAGATGTCTCTGAAGTATATAGAGCCCTAGTCATAAAGAGTCTGTCACTTTCTCTTTAAACTAGGACATTGAATTGGGCCTGGAAGCTTAATGCAACTAACAGTTAACTTTATTAGCAACATAATGCACCCACTGCCAATTATGGCGCTGGAGGAGACTCTCGAGAGTCCCATGGACTGCAAGAAGATCAAACCTTTCCATTCTGAAGGAAATCAGCCCTGAGTGCTCACTGGAAGGACAGATCCTGAAGCTGAGGCTCCAATACTTTGGCCACCTCATGAGAAGAGAAGGCTCCCTGGAAAAGACCCTGATGCTGGGAAAGATTGAGAACACAAGGAGAAGGGGACGACAAAGCACAAGATGGTTGGACAGTGTTCTCGAAGCTACCAGCATGAGTTTGACCAAACTGCGGGAGGCAGTGGAAGACAGGAGTGCCTGGCGTGCTCTGGTCCATGATGTTACAAAGAGTCGGACACAACTAAACGACGAAACAACAACAACATGTTCCTTCCTTCTACCTTAGGCTGTAACACTTCATACCGGCTAGAACTTTCAAAATGTCTTCCTAGATGGGGCTATGCAGAGTATGCTAAAGGGCAGTAGCAGCAAGATTGTTGTTTTCCATGAATGGGTGTAGTTGACATATGTGATATAAGCAATAAACAGCAATCTTTATGCCTATTTATCAAGCTGCATGTTGGGCCCAAAAGACCAATTAGCTCTAAGTATAACTAAGTACTGGTGCAACCCAGTACAGTGGTACCTCGGGTTAAGAACTTAATTCGCTCTGGAGGTCTGTTCTTAACCTGAAACTGTTCTTAACCTGAAGCACCACTTTAGCTAATGGGGCCTCCTGCTGCCACTGCGCCGCTGCTGCAGGATTTCTGTTCTCATCCTGAAGCAAAGTTCTTAACCCGATGTAATATTTCTGGGCTAGCAGAATCTGTAACCTGAAGCATATGTAACCTGAAGCGTATGTAACCTGAGGTACCACTGCATATAGCATCAGGAACCAAACTGACCTGAATTTTAAACCTGTGGATAGCCAATATTTATTTAATTTTGGGGGGAAATGTAATATTAAAAATAGTATAATATGTTATACTGTATTAATCTTTTTTAAACCTCAACTAATTATGGCCATCATAAGTAAAGACTCCTTACTTTGTACTACAAAACAATACATTAACCTTTAAGCAACATGAAAAGAGGCCTGCAGATTGATTAATGATGTTTGAGTGAGGTCACCCACAAGGTCTATTTCCATGCCAAAAGAACACAATGGGAAGGATATACATTCTTGAAATGCACAGTGATCACTTTGAGAGGAAAAACCTCTTTTATCATGCATGGTGTGGTCTAACATTTGAAGTGGGAATTTAAAACTTGAGGAGGAAGAGTCATAATGGTTCCTTTGCTTCTTCCCTCCAGTGACCCTTTCAATTACAAAGACAAAAGTTATTTTTGCCTCACATTGTGAATTGCATTGACCAGACAGACCCTTCTTAGCATTTTTTTTAAAAGAGAGGTCATAAAATAATGAACTCTTCTGGTACTTCTCTGAAATGCTAATTCTGTCCCTTCAGTTTATTATTCCTTCAGTTTAATGAGTTGTTTTTGTCTCCCACTGCAGACCTCTGTCTCAGTACTTTCTAAACATACTTTGCCAAAGTAACTGTTGCTGTTCACCATCAGTTTTCCCTTAACGCCCATGGAAAAACATACTTGATCTTTTATTTAAAACAAAATGTATTTGAATTTGAAAAACCAAAAGTTAGACCAACTTAAAATCCCCGCTTACTTCCCTTGTGCTGCTGCAGAACCATGGATGACTTGCGGGGTGACTTAATGGCAATTCAGAAATTTCACTGGCTGATGGTTAGTTCCTGAGCTAAACTGAAAGTTCTTTATGTTAAAGTGTTGGAAGCCAGGGTATATTGCCATGGTATCTGCTATCTCCTATCTGAACTTTCCCCCTCTTTGCTTCAGGCTTTGCAGTGTTAGAAGCAAAGATTAACATCTACTAGGAGTGAAGCATATTTTGAATGTTCTCCTTCAGGAAGTATGCAGGGTGACTCAAAAATGCAAGTCAAAATACTATGCTATGCTATGCTATACAGCTTTTGAGATATAGTGTCACATTTTCCTCACTACTCATGCCAATGACTCTACAGTTTTAGTTTAGTTGTAAAAAACATTTAAATGTTTTGTATTGTAATTAATTTTGTGGACCTTTGGGTTGAAAGGCAGGGCAAGAATGGAAATAACAGATAAAATTGGACAGGTCTTGTTCCCAACGCCATTCTTTATTCGATGTATTTTACATTTAATCTGATGGATACTGTGTCAATTTAGAGTGCAGAGTTGCCATATTCTGACTGCCTGGCCCCATCCAATAAAATGTTTCAATAAACTAAATATTAAATAAACAAACATGCATACTCTGATCTCCACACTTATCGCCTGAGTTTATTTACCCTGAATAACATTTGGATTAAAAAACCCATAGCAATAAGCAGAAGTATACTTACAAACTGAAAGCAGCTCCTAACACTGGGTTCAATATTACTGCCACCAAAAGAAGCAACTTCCCCCAGCTGTCTTGGAATCTGAATAGAGTCATGCAGGAGGAGGCCTAGACGACGCTGGTCACAGAATCCAGTGGGACTGGCTACCTGTTTGAACAGATCTGGAGGCAAAAGAAAGATGTATAGCAAAATCCATTAAAACAATGGAAACTATCAACTGTATAATACGTATAAACAAATTTGCTGTCAGAGATACAGATAAATGGTTGAGAGTTTTCATAAGGTTTGTTCACAATTTGTTTGGTTATTTAGTGGTTTGACTTTCTCTAGTAGACAATTCTGAAATAACTATTTTGAATCAGATTTTGTTTGTAGCCAATTACTATTACACTTTAACTCACATAAACCAAAACAAAAGCAAGGAAGTCCAAGAATAAGTTAAATAATTAATGTCAAAATATATAACTGTCAAAGCTGAGAATTGTAAAGTTACTCAAATAATTTTTAAATATTAAAGAATACCATTGGTAATCAAAACTGTTTGGGCCAAAAAAGCAGACCATAATTTTATTGCTGCTAGTGCACATTATCCTATATAGGTAACAAATTTGTGAGGAAATGCTTTAAGTATATACATTTTTGGGGGGATTTTTGTCACAGAAGTAAATAGGAATAACTTGCATGCAAAGATGTTCACAATCAGAATAAAGGAATGAAGTTACCAAAAAATTCCACAATGATATATGCCTGCAAACTGGATTTCCAAACTCTGATTTGTATCAAAAGTTGAAAAAACCCAAAAGCTTGGCATTTGGAATCCAATAATATATTTGGAAGAAAGAAAAAGAGTTCTGTGTTACAGAACCATGTTGCCCACAGGAAATGTTAATACCAGGAGTTGTACTACATGTAAATTTAATTTACTGCAAAAGAGTTATATAGTACATATCTGAAGGTATGTTAAAGTTTGTAACAGTTAAAAAAATGAGATTATGATCAACTGAAATATTTATTTGGCACTACCCATTACCAATACATGACCTGAATAAATCTTGTTTTATTTTTCAAAGCATTAAAAACAGATTTCACCGAGTGAAAATAATATGGTTATATTCCTGCAGACTCATTAATATTTCATTTTGTACTAAGGGCACAATTATAGAAAAGCTTTAGTCTTGTATAGAAATTTACTAGTACAGTTTTAACACCTGATTTTATTTTGCTTCTATTTAAGACACCATTTCCTAGCCAAGTCTGATCTTAGTTTACATCATAAAGGGGCACTTTCCATTCCCATCATAGTTGTAGAGAGTATCTTGGCAGGAGAATTGATGTTATCAGGCTGTGAGAGTTTCAGAGTTATAATGTGTTGCTCAACTTTTAGGAATGATAAGAACACCACAAGGAAACACAATGCAAATAATAATTGGCATCCGTGTGATAATAAGTACAAGGGTAAAGGTAAAAGACCCCTGGCTGGTTAAGTCAAGTCAAAGGCAACTACGGGGTGCGGCACTCATCTCGCTTTCAGGCCGAGGGAGCTGGCGTTTGTCCAGGTCATGTGGCCAGCATGACTAAACTGCTTCTAGTGCAACGGGACACGTGATGGAAACCAGAGTGCACGGAAACGCCTTTTACGTTTCCGCTGCAGTGGTACCTATTTATCTACGATATTGCAGTACATCACTGATTACCATGAATTGTAGTCCAGCAACATCTGGAGGGCCAAAGCTTTCCCATTCCTGAACTAGTGGGATCTTCTGAGAAATCTCACTCCCGTTTCTTTTGAAGGACAGATCAAGTAAGTCTCAATAAACATTTTCTGATTCTATCTTATTATCCTAAGTGTTAGGACACTTTTCTAAGATGAAGTATTTAAACAGAATGGTAGATTCCAAAATTTAGGAGGATGGAATATACCCTACATACCCTGATTTCACTCAACAGTGTAATTTTTGGAATAACATAAGCCACTCACATGACACTCCCACCAGCAGAAGGAGAGGCAATTTTCAGCAATTTCCCCTTCCTCATGTGCTACCTCTCATGCTGCTCTGGAGGTTTTCCCAACTCCCTGGAGATCATTCCTGGGGGAATTCTGCTGGTTGCTATGTCATGTGAGTACAACTCCACTCAGTGGATGTTCCTGTCAATCTCCTTTGCAGACTGTCCTTCCTGAAAGTTGGGGCACGTAAAACAGCACAGTGGGACTTCAGTGAACCTCACAACTGCTTCCTTGTGCCAATTAGATTTTTGAGTCTGTACTCCAAGAATTATTTCAGGTGAAGGATTTAATGGATGGCTCCCAAGTAACTACAATCAATTTTCATAGAAAATATAATGCAGTAGAAAAAGCATAATACCTTGGGTGGTATTCAGTTAAGTTTTACTCATAGTAGATCCACTGAAATTAATGAACGTGATGAAGCTAAGTGTGTTAGTTTCAATGCCTGCTCTGGGCAAAACTTAGTTGAGTATCACCCCTTGGAAATACCTGTTTGCTTAAATATTGAAAAATAAAGGGGAATGTTTAGAATATGCAAGGAGCTGACAAACAAGTATTTGCTGCTTCTAAATGCTGCATTTCTGTAGTAAACAGTGACTTGACTTACATCTGTATTTATCTTCCAAATGTGCTTTACAGAGGGAAATAACACCAGTTTTAAAAGAGAGGACACGGATCCTTCCTGTTCGACCCCTATTGAAATTAAATCACAGGAAAAGGAGAAAAATAATACAGTCAAATATGTGAATTATACATGCAATTTATATTTGCTACTTCTAAATGCATCAATGAACATCTTAGAAGTTAAGAAAAAACTCAAAAGGAATGGAAAAGCCCTACAAAACAAGTAGATTATAACTCTGCAAAAGGGTAGCTATTATTAGATAAACAAAGCTTCACAAACTTAAATTTCAGAATAATGACTTCTTTTGTTTCTCCATATGCCACACAATTCACTCATGTATGCTGAACAGCAGTCTTCAGCAGTCTTTTAAGTCTTAGAAATCCTATCCCATGGGTATGTCATTGTTTTTAATATGAAAATGCATAGTAACTTCTTAAATGCCTACTTAAATATTCTATCATTTTATTTTATTTTATTATTTTTATGGTTAGAAGTTGTTTTAAAATTGTGCTTTAACACTGTAACCTGCTGTTGGACCTTAGGGTGAAGGGCAGGAAACAAACAAATCACAAAAAGTGTTTTTATAATACTTTTGAGTTGCCTTTGCCTCCTGTCATAAAATACATATTGTGCTGAAATACAAAATTACATTTATATTTGGTAGAAATAAACCATTACATCAACTGAATTCTATAAAGAAATGATTTTAGCAACTAATAGACATTCTCTTTGCACCTACAGATTAAACAAAACACAATAAAATTGAGATAGACTATCATAACATTACAACAAAACTAGAACTGGGGCAGACTTTGGAAAGGAAGAAAAATTGTAGCTCCAGAGGATACTGCTGGAGATACCAGCAGTTCCTAATACAAAATTTAGCAGTCCATGATTATCTTAATTAAAACTTGATGAAAAATTGTTGGGATCTGGAAGAATTCCAATGCTGTAAACCATTTCTTTAACTGAAGATTTTCCTTTAATTAAACTAAAACCAGTTAGTTGGGTTCTTTGAAATGAACTGACAATATTTTATTTGCCCATAAAACAGCTTTTTATGTGATGTGGCGTCTCATGAAAAAAGACAATTTTAACCATGCCATGGTAAATCCTCTGCGGAGTGGGGCTGAAAGCATATACCAGACCAAAAAGAAACAAACAAACAAACACCCTGAAGGGCCTACTAGATGATTTAACAAATGAGACAGAAGCTGACCCCAATTATATAGGACATTCTATTTAAATCTGTCATTTCCCAGTTTCACATTTCATAACAGAACTGCACAGGGCTCCAAAACTAACCAAAGTATTTGCTGAATAGCCTTTAAGCTATTAGCTTGTATTAAACTTGCACTCTGATCACCAGCTTGCCAGCTCTGAGCCATTCATTTTTCTAGCAAGGACAAAAGTTCATTATAAGCAAGTGTCACTGAAGTCTACCCGCACATACGTGTCATAAACATTCAAAAGCCAGTTGAGGCACATATCCACGCAGAGAGGGACGTTGACTAGGTTATTGTGCTCTTGTTCGAGTCGATCATAAATGGTAGTCAAGCAGTTGATGATCTGAAGTATATCCATTGGCTGGTCATTCTGTTTGAGGTTGTGCTGGTCCAAGGCATCACATGCAGCAGACAGACTCAGGAGATCCACTGTACAAGGAATAAAAACAACAATCCTAATAAGAAGCTGCCTTAATCTGTGACAATCGAGACAAATTAATTATCTAGCTATGTGTGTTGGACTTAACCACTAGTGTATTAGCTTTAAAATGTAGCTTTCATATTTCATTTTTAGTATCATTCCGTCACTAATGGATTTTCTCTATATAGGTATGATCTAGTTCTAGTTCAATGGCATAACATGTTACTTGTCTAAAAAATGCTTCTTGTCCAGCAACAGTCTGTTTATCAGCTTCATCCCCTGGGATCAGGCAAAGATCCTTTAATACAAATTTATTCACCAAATTGGAAATGCAGTAAAATACTTTTTAACATGGAGCTTAAGGCTGAGTTTTCAGCTCTTCTGAGAGAATGAATAAATGATAATTAAATGAACTCCTCAAGGAATGGGTGGCAGCCTAATTGTATATGCACCTACAAATAAACAGAGGTTATTCTCTTTCAGAAAAGTTTTCCATGCCAATAAATGACAGTGCCTTGAAAGTGGTTAATGGTTTTTTTTATTTTTGTTTTTAACTTGCATGAAACACCACTAGCATATCTACTAAGCAGTAGTGTGAAAATACATTTTTCTTCAGAGAATTACTGAATAACTAACAGTGACAGATTATTGTAATCTCTTGCACTTCCCTCCCAACCCGCCCCCCCAATACCGAGGCTATTGCTATGGGGGGCAGACTTGCTATGGGGTGTGCAGACTTCAGGATTGCAGTAGTATGACTGGCTAAGGAATGTTGTATCTTTCTTCCTTTCCCTATATCAACAATTCAAGATTAAAGCAATTATGCTACTGGAAATTCATTAACAGCAACGAAGTTGGGTTATTTGTTGTTTGTGTCAGATGGGCAAGGGCATATGGATTGAACAGAAGTTTCTTGTCCGCCTCTGTTTGCCTCCTGCTGCCATTGCCTTTGGAGTGATGCCACTATGGAGCTCTGCCTTCTGTTGTGGACTTTCCCCTTCGGCCCACCACATGTGTGGACATACAGAAGTGGAGAATCCCCTCACCAGGCCAGCACAAAAACCATAAATAGAGCTTGCCAGAGGCAGGAAGGATGTGGGGCAAAGCCAGCCCTGCTTCAGTTGTGTGATAGCATTAGGCCTGATTTATATCCAGTTGCCGAACCAGGTCTAGACTGGCACAGCAATTGGTCTGCCCTGGCAACCATACATGGCAGGGCTATAGATGCCGTGGTCCCCTCCACTCTTGAGGCCTGGCTGGGCTGAAAGAACAGCAGCCTAAGTCTGGATCCAACCCATTATCTTATAAATAATGTACAGTAAGACTGTAATTTATGCACATTTAACTTGTGTGCATTCGGCTTTACGTGTGTGGCAAAAATATCAAAAGGGCCAGGGTTCCAGGGAAAATGACTTTGGTAATCTCACCCACCACTGAACCGAATGGGTTTGATTATATGTGATTTTGGCTTTAGGCATGATCCCTAGAATAGAACCCCAGTGTAAATTGTGCGCTTAATGTATTGTCATACTCTGAGAACATGATTAACTTAAATCCTATTGGTTTTAATGGGTTTACTCTAACCACAACCCATTATAGATATCTAATTCTAAATTAAAGTTATGATGATTTAAATTTTATTGCTATTAGCTGCCTTGAGCTCTACTGGAAAAGGCTGGATACAATATGTTTAATTTTAAAAAAATATCATTTGTGGTTACATCCCTAAAACTCATTTGACAAGTTGTCCAAATTTCATTTAATGTTAACATGCAATTATATATCCCCACCCAAAACTTTTTGATACAGAACAGAAACTGGAATTTATTTATTTTTAAACGTTTTTATTTGGTGCCTAGACTAGAGCAATTAGTAGCCTGGTGGCTTTAATTAATTTAAATATAAATAGCAACAGTATTTTATGCATGCTTACTTCTAATTCCCAGTGAGTTTAATAGGTCTTACTTCTAAGTAAGTGCAAATAAAACTACAGTCTTGCAGTGCAATTCTCTACATGTCCATGTAAAAGTAAGCCCCAATGAGTTCAATGGGGCTTATTCCCAGGTGTGTATAGGATTGCAGCCATAATCTCCTCAAGTAAACAAGTATTCATTTTAATTAATACTCCTAACTTCCTAAGGAATGTTGTATCTTTCTTCCTTTCCCTATATCAACAATTCAAGATTAAAGCAATTATGCTACTGGAAATTCATTAACAGCAACGAAGTTGGGTTATTTGTTGTTGAAAGTTAAGAACATTGCTACTAGCAATATATCACAGCTTCTATAGCCTACATATAATAGGGGTATTTAAAATGAGAGTTGAAAGTAGTAAAAGTAGTTAAAAGTCGAAGTTGGCAAATGTGTCCCTTTTTTTGCTCTTCAAAATATGGCAACCCTAGCTTTGTGCTTCTTACTTCGGAATTATAATTCCTTGGAGAACAAACATTGTTAGCCAGCCATATCAAACAACTCCCTTTGAAGCAGGCATGAACAATAGGCTCAGGTATTTAGCAGAGGTGGCAATGCATGTTAAATAAGAACATCGGGGATGGTAAAAACCTGACTTGGCCCTAATTAAACATGCTAGTGAAGACAAATTATGCTGTAAAGTTCTTACAACTGCTTGAAGGAGGAGTGGTATGAAACACACACATATCCATCTTGGATAATTTGTACAGTAATTTGTACAGCTTTACATTTCCAGAGACTTACTTTTTTAACAATAATTTATATATGATGTGCCACAGCATACCACCAGTACGTATTTACACTTGCCAGTGAAACATACTGCATTCAGAACTGCCTCAGTTAATGCTATAACCTTTTTATTTTTACACCTATGTAAAACGGTTGCTTTTGCATAGCCCCTTCCATGTTAATGGAGTGGTTATATTGTTACACATCATCCCAATCTCTGAGTTTAAGATTCCAGGAGTACCAGGTCTGTGTTCCCCTTCAATGAGGCACAGCAGAGCCTGCGGTGTCTTTATGATACATGGTTTATTGACACATATATACAACCTGAATCCAATAGAGGGATCTGCAGCATTACATTCCAAGAGCCCATAGCCAAAGCACTGGGTTCAAAACAGACATCAGCATCCTGCGTTGTTTTTTTAACTATTTCTCCACCCCACTGCTTAGTAACTCTATTCCTTAACTCCTCCCTGCCAATCTAAACCCTACACTCTTATCCCTTGAATAAACTTTTCACACCTAGCCCCTTTGAGCTCTGTACTTCCCAATGGTTTATCTGCTCACCAGGCGATCATCTCAGGGAAGCTTGTCTGACTTAATTAGCAGCTAACTTATGTGAATTTCCTAAGGAAGGGTCACAACTTGAAATGTCTGCCTGCTTTAATTAGCTTTCACATATGCTAATAAAAAGACTTACCTGTGGGCCCACCACACCTCTTACTGTACCCTAACACACACTTGGGACCACCTTAAGTACACATGAGTTTGGCTATTTCCCAGTTCTAACAACCCAACCTTAATTACGTCTTACAGCCACAGATTCATAACAATATGAGATACCAAAATTCAGAAAAAGGTTTTGCTTTATAAGCTTACTGCAGCCTTCAATGTTGCACAAACAGATTTCTACTCATATAATGGGGCTTCAATTGCCCCTCTTCCCTACAGCAGCTCCCCAACCACCAGATGGTCACCTAATCCTTTGGAGTCCCTTTTGAGGGAACATCAGGGGCGCTGTGAGGGAAGAGGGGAAGCTGAAGTGGGAGTCCATTCCATTTTACAAGTGGGAGTCCATTCCATTCACACACAGACAGCTTTGGATACCGATGACAATGAAAGCACAGAAATACCAACATTCATTAACAGTTATCATGAACCTTCAGTTAGTTTCAAAGCCCACAGTCTAGTTAGAAACTCTTCATTATTATTATTATTATTACTGTGTATTTTGGCTTTCATATGCAGTGCTATTTTTCTAGAAAAAATAGGTGCCGGAACTCACCATGAACACTTCCCTCATCCTCTTAGAATGGCAATGGTGCCCACCTGAGAGGTGCCGGGAAAAAGCTGAAAAAAAGCCCTGCATATGAGACATATAATTGAAAGAGGGGAAGCTTTTATTTCATTCTGATGATGTTATTCTGTTTATTTTAAAGTCTTTTTTGTCTCTGGTCTTCCTCCTGAAAGCCATGTATTTATGTGTATGCATTTTGCATATTTTCATATAATGATGTTAGCAACCAGACATTTCTTAGAACATACGTATTTCCAGAAGCAAGATCTATGATTCAGAGGGTTTTCAACTACATCCTCAATATATACCCGAACAGAACCCAAAACTGTCAAGTTTAACAAGCAAACTGAAAACAATTTTCAAATGGAAAAAAATAAAAGAAACTATGGTATGCAACTTCCCTTTAAAATGGTTCCACATCCAAATTAAGGGGAAATTTCACTGAGGCTCATAACATTTCCCTGTTGAGAGGGAGAATCATGTATTCCACCTTGCATTCCTTTCAGGAAAAGGTGGATAAATGTATTGTTTTATTTTATTTTATTTTATTTCTTTCACAAAACTCCTGCTTAAACAATGGTATATCCTAGAGTCATATTCTGGGTACAAGCCTGAAAATGAACAGTATAAGGGGTGGGGGAACAATATGGGGGAAACTAACAATGAAGTATTATTATTATTAAATATTTATTTATACCCTACCTTTTCCCTGACAGGACTCAAGGGCTACTTATCACAATTTTTGAAGTATATGTTTCTGAAGCACATATACAAAAAATGAAAGTTTAGTAAAATACTCACAACAGAGAGCTTTCTGTAGTCTTCGGAGCTTCATAGCAGTTCTGTATGCTGAGAATCTAACATTGTTCAAGTCAGCTAAGAGGTGAATGAAAGAAAAAAGGGGATGAGAGAAAATCAATTATTTCATAATTGATGCTATGGCACAGTATTTGGTGAACAGATAAACTAAAGATTCACTTTAAATAAGAACTTAAAATATTTTCTTCATTTTAAATGTGAGGAATTAAACCAGTAACCGTGAAAGGGCTATCCTTAATATTAACAACACTGCTCTCATGTGATATGCTTCACACATAAAGGGCAGAAACCAGCCAAAGTTAAGTACCATTCAGGCTGCAAACCTATATCTAGTTACCTAGGAGCAAGTCCCACTGAACTCAACATGGTTCAATTCTCAGTGGACATGTATAAGATTGCGCTGTGTCAGTGATTTCAAGGGAGATTTAAGCACCTCCTAAACTTTTTCCTATTGAAATTCATGGCATTAAGATATTTTTTGGTTTGGCTGGATTATGGCCAAAATGATGCACAGTACTATTGCAAGACTAAAGTGTTGTTACTTTAAAGATATGAATTAGGAAATCTTCCTTTCCCCCCTACCCCACCCCCTCCTTTGGCTTGGGATTGGCAGGCTTTTTGTAAAGAGTACTTGAAAAGAGGAAAAGAGAAGGACTTAAGGGAGGAAAAAAGATAGACACAGAGAAGGAGGGAGAGAGGGACTTCTGCCAGGGTTTGCATGTAGGAACTAAACCCCGTGATGCACCAGAGAACAATGCAGCTTTATAAAGAGCCAACGCTAGCGCCACTTTCATCTACTTTTGTGCTTGTTCTTTGCCGCATCAGATTCCTCCCAAGCCTACCATTTCACTTCATTTAATAACTGAGCAGTTAAGGTGCCCCTTTGAAGTTACAATGAACAGGGACAGAATGGGATCTCGCCCAAGTAAAGATGGGTTGAGAACAGAAGCGCCACAACATCTTTATTAAAATATTTATTCATCCCACTTCCATTTAAAAACAACAAAACAAATATATGAGCTCCGAAACAAACCCAGTGAGCTCCTTATGCTTCAGCATGGGGTGGAATGCAGGCAGGTGGGCTTTTGTTACCATCATGCCTCTATGCTATAGAACGCGGCCTCATCTTGCATATCAGGGATGAATGTGCCAAAATGTACAAAAATATGCCTCTAGATCTGGTGTATGTTTCTCCTTGCCTTGTAGACACTGCTTCTTTTCATGGGGACAGTGCAAAGAATAAAAGGTGCTAGCCTTTGAAGTTGCACCATCACACCTGACACTAGCATTCACAAATTAGCCTTTCATATCAATCCTGATTAAGCACCACACACACACAAAAATGTTCTTTTCACTTCATAGGTCTCTTCTGACTTTCCCTCCATTCTGTTTCTCATGTCTGGTAAATATTATGGGAACTGCAGAAAACTCCCATGAAAGAGTTCAGCACCCAGAGATACAGTACTCTCCTGCCCACCTTTTTTAATATAAAAAAGTAGCAAAAAACTCACTTCATATCATCATTTAGCTGTCAAATAGATAAGCATCACAATATCTAGACTGCAGCTTTCGGAGTATTCATTTTGAATGTCTGCTAAAATACCTTATCTTGTTAATACTACTAGCCTTCATTATGTATTTGCTGTATTCCTGTTACAGACTTCCATGCACCTTTTAAATAGGCTGCTCATTAGTGTATTGTTTCGGCATTGTTCCTTCCTGCCAGATCTGCCTCACCATAATAGAAAGTGCCTCACAAACCTTCATGTGGCTTAGAATAAACTATGGTACTTAAACAATCCCATAGACAATAAATCTATCATGAAAGCAAATTAATAAAGACCTATTTTGCCAAGGCACTGTGACTGCAATTTCATTGTGCAGATGTGTAAAAAAAGAGAATGCTTTAATTAAGGACAGAGGGAAGAAGCAAGAATACTATGTTACAAATGAGAAAGAGAAGTGAGATAATACGGATTAACATATAAATAGCATCTGGTGAAAGAAAAAAAAGCATTTCAATGCTCTTTAAGTAATGGAAATGATAATGTTAGGAGGAGAGCTAAACTCAGTAAAACTTTATACAAAAACAGCAATTAGTTGGCATATCTGGATTAATAATACCCTTACATGGATACGCATGTACAAGCTCCACGTTGACCTACCCCATCCCTTTCTTTCCTCCATTTGCTTTCTCTACTGGAGACCTTTTTCCCCACAGTGCAGCCACCGCTCATAGCTCTTTGCTACATGCAGCTACAGTGTAACAACCCCTAAACCTCTGTCCCACTTCCCTCTCACTAGCACTTTTCAATGAAATGTTTTTCTTAACAAACATTCTCACTTTGGATCTCTTTTATAAATAGAAGCTGCCCGTAAAATTAGCTAATTTGATAGTGCTTAAATTATGCAGCAGAAAGGCACCCATCATATATGCCTGAGGCTTGTTCACAACATATGAATCTGTGGCAATGAAGCTGTATGCTTGATTCATACACATGATTGAAATTAGGCTGCTTTTAATAATTTTTCAATATAGGAATTATCAATATTATCAGTCTCCTACTCCAGAACCCAACCACCCCAATAAAACATAATATCATGTCACTCTCTTCAAAACACTTGTAACAAAGAGTGCTTCCAGACAGGAGTTTATTCTGAAATCAGTGCTGCTCACATACATATATATTTTTTACCACCCACAGCCTGTTATCAAAATTCCAGCCTATAATTTATACTTGTTTAATCCAGATTTGCCCGCTCCCCATAAAATCAGATTTAAAAAAACACACTTCTGCTGTCACTGCTGGTCTAGAAGCTTTTTAGTACATGTTTTTGTTACGTATGTGGTGACATTTTGGTGGGTAGTTCTAATGCTGCGCTTCTACTTCTGTTTGCTCTTCACCTGACCACAACCATATTGTTCATGGCAGCTAAAACAATACACACTTGCCTATTTCTACCTGCAGAACAGGGCCGGCTCTAGGAAGAGGCAAAGTTAGGCATCTGCCTCAGGCAGCAGATGCTGAAGGGCAGGGAGTGGCCAGAGCTGTGAGTGCCATGCAGCCTGCCCTGCACCCCTGTGCTAGCCTGCTGCCTTCAAAAGCAGTGGAAGATACAGTTCCTTTACTAGCATTAGAGTAAGATTAAACTACAGTCCAGTTGGCATCTGCACATGCCTTGGGAAAGAGGACCATCTTGTCATTCACCTCTGGCCACAAAATGTCTTGAGCCAGCCCTGCTGCAGAAGGTGCATTTAAATTTCAACACCACAATTAGGAATAGTTATTTTCTCAAGAACTTCACATAGTACGTGAAAGGATTACTCTTTGGAAACTGAAACTGCAGTACATGCACTATGCTTTTAAAAAAAAAATTCAACAGAGACATATTGTTATGCCTCCTTAACAGTCCTGGCTCTGCATCCTTGAATTCTTTTGGCTGGTTGCAATGTCTCCTGCAAGTGTGATAACACTTCTAACTTGCTTGGATGCAGGATGGGGAGAAGTGTGTATGTATGCCTAGAATCTCAGATTTTTGCCTTGCTGCAATGCAGCCTACTCTACAATGGTAAGAGTCACACCTACTGCTCTGCCTAGTTTTACATCTATCCCCTCCCACAATTCAAATGTCCCCCGGGAAGGCTATCTATGAGGGAATGCAGTCCTCAGGCTGAAAAGGGTTCCCCACCTCTACTTTAAGTGAACAGGAAACCTGCTGCCACACGCTCAACATACCTGCTTCTATGAACATAAAATGGGGTCAGGCAAAGAGGCAGTTCAGTGAGTGCTTAGTTAATTGCATGAATAGCCAGCCACTCCCCCACAACCCACCGTTGTTGAAGAAGAAGAAGAAGAAGAAGAAGAAGAAGAAGAAGAAGAAGAAGAAGAAGGTTTAATGCTGATCTTCAGAGCAACGGTGAAATAATAAGTGATTCAACTTGATAGAAAAATAAAATAATAAATATTAAATATTGACATGGAAGATTTGTCTCTCTTATTATGTACAGCATGACTATTACAGTTTGCTATTGACCAGATTTTATGAAAAGAGCAGTCAGTCAACAGTTGTTCAGGCTCAATTGAAAATGCTGGCTGAATAGGATGTATCAATGGCTAACGTTCTATCCTGATGCATATTAAGCTGCCTATAAAGTAAAATGTTTAGGATAGTCCAAGGAATCTTCTGCCAAATTCTGCTTATCCAACACACTTGACTTAATTTTTTAAAAATATATAACAAATATATTGAAAAGTTGTTAGAGCTTGGAAAAATATGGTCATACAGAATCCATAGCATTATAGAGAGCCAATAGACCAGATTCCCACTGAACCAAGTAAAAACTGAATGAACCAGATAAAACCAATTTTGACCATTTTATGGGCCAATAGGATAGCCACACTGGGATGAAAGTCCAATTGAATTTAACTGGCCTTCAATAATCCATTTGTTATGCCCTTTCCTTAAAATATTTGGCTAGTATTACACTGGCTTTTAATAAATATTATTTTCCAAATGTCATACCAATGTGGTATACAGTACCTCCTCTTCTTCCTGATCCTTCCATGTAGCCAGGAGTTTGGAAGCTTTCACTTCTGCTTTTGGTTTACTGTTTTGTCCAAATTGGCCAACTGTGGTACACTATGATTTCAAGCCTGCTTGAAAACATGGTCTTTCTCTGAATACAGCTAGCTATGCTTTATCTATATGCTGTACCTGATCTTTCGTAAGACTAAATTGTTGGGTTAGGTGCTCTAGGACCTTAGAAAAGCTGCCTTTTCCAACTTGGAAGGGCCAAAGGAGTGCAAAACGGACACGTTAACAGTTCAACAGTACGATCAATTCAGATGCAATGGTGAAGATGTAACACTCAGTGCACTGTTTTTGCCTGTCATCTTTACATGCTCCAGCATTATGTAGGCGCCAAAATTAACAACTATGGTTAATGCAGCAACAATGAATAATGTAAGGATTCTATGAGTCATGCCTGTTGGGATATAAACTTCAAAATTTTACCAGGATATTCTTGTAAATAGGGATCTGAGTTTCAAACAAGA